TGAAGGGTTTGAAAATGAGTGCGAGGATCTTGAAATTGATCCATTCGACGATACGGAGACAGCAGAGCGGCTAGAACTGGTGTGATGGGGGAACGGAGTTTACCGGTGAGTGTGCGGGCAGCGGAGTTTTGGATCAGATGGATCCTGTGGATGGTGGAGCTGGGGAGACGGGCAAAGAGAGCATTTGAGAAGTTCAGTTGGGAGTTGACGAACGTGTGTGTATCACACACACACACAGGATGAGTGTGAGCTACAGTGATACAGTATATTGCTGCTGTCAACGGCAGAGAGACCACCTCATTGACGAAGGAATTACCCCGAGAGTTAACCAGCTCAAATCCGCTGAGTAAATATTGTACACTCTCCCGAGTCAATATTAACACAGTCTCAAACAGCGGCACACGTCAATCTGTATTCAGCTCAACAGGGCGCGGGAAACTCAGAGAGAGAGACAGGAGGAGAGACTGTGAGAGAGAGAGAGAGAGAGAGAGAAGCAGAGAGAGAAACGACAACAACAACAAAATTAAAGTGTGAAAGTGGGTGATGGGGAGAGAGAGTGAGAAAGAGGTGAGAAATCATTCACCCACATTGTACAGATGCTGTAGAGGGAGCTTTACTGTGACTCTAACCCTGACCTGGGAGTGTGGACGCACAGTGTAGAGGGAGCTTTACGTGTCTCTAACCCTGACCTGGGAGTGTCGACGCACAGTGCAGAGGGAGCTTTACTGTGTCTCAAGCCCTGACCTGGGAGTGCGGACGCACAGTGTAGTGGAAGCAATGCTCAATGTCTAATCTGTGTTGTATTAACATTGTGTGTGTGTGTAATTTAGACGAGGGATAAGGAGTGAAACTGGGGATAAACAGTGTATTTTGCTGGTAAATAAAAACAGCTGGAAGCTGGTGGAGAGCGGTGGCAGCGAGCCAAGCAGAGAGGCACAACAGGTGGACTGAGCACCAGCTACAGCCAATCCATGTGCACATCACCAACCCCAACCATAACCCCAGCACTAATCCTAACACCCAGCCCACCCTTAACCCCAGCCCTAACCCCAACCCCAGCCCTAACTCCAGCCCTAACCACATGCCTAATCCCAACCCCAGCCCTAACCCCAATCCCAACCCCCAACCCAAGATGAAGGTAAATAGATATTTGTTAAGTCAGGGGTTTTAAGGGATATGGGGCAAGAGCGGATAACTGGACTTGAGATATAGATCAGCCATGATCTTATAAAATGGCTCGAGGGGCTGAATAGCCTACTCCTGTTTCTATGTCTATGTATCTAACCCCAGCCCCCAGACCCAGTCCCAGGGCCTATGGGTCATTCACCACCCAACAATGGCAAGCTGTGCGGTTTTATCTGGTTAGACTCTAGCAGTTAATGGACACACTGGGCTCCCTGCAAACCTGATCCGTGCCAACTGGCGTCCAATACTTTCTGGAATTAGGTAAACAGGATGTGTTCCTCCAGGGAGAGAGAGAGAGAACACATTCCATTCCAACAATCTATCTCGGGGATTTCTACGTGAGGTTGGGATGCATGGAATTCGCAGCTTAGTTTTGAGGCCCTTAAGCAACGGTGATGGGTTTCCGTGTGTGTCAGACACCTGTCTGGGCAATTATGGGACTCCTCGCCTGGTCTCTATATTCCCTATCTCCCTCTCGTCCTCCTCAGCATCTGTCCCTCTGGTGTCACCGGGAACGCTGGCCGGAATAAAATCCTCCATTCATTTATGGCAGCCCTGAATTCCCCACCTCAGGCTGACTCTCAGCCAACAACTGCGGAAAATCCTTTGTTTTACTTTTAATTTGAAAGACGTTTGTTTACAATTCTTAACAGAAATTGGAAACGAGTTACATCAGGTGTGGCTGAACCGAGACGTGTGTGAAGATCAGACACTTGTGTTCCACTCAGGAGCATGTGCGTGCGCAGGTCAGGGACACGTGTGTGCTGGTCAGAGACATGCATGTGCAGGTTAGGGACACCAAGTGCTGAGAGATGTTTTCACCTGTCCAACACCTTATTAATTCAGCTAGTTATTCTGGTGACAATCAATTAAGAGGTAAATTGCCCAAACTCCATTACACCCAGAACGCAGGGACACTCCCACTCACTCTCTCTCTCACACTCTGTCTGTCTGTCGTTCTCCCACGTTCCATCTATCACACCCTCTCCCCCTCCTTCCCTCCCTCTCTTGCTCTGATTCTCTCTTGCACTCTGTCTCCCTCTCTCTTACTCTTTCTCCCTCTCTCGATACCACTGTTGAGCTCTCTGTCCCTCAGTTCAGTGGCTGCTCAGCTGCTGTCAGTGGGGAAGTTAAAGTGATTAAAGGGGACATTAGTGGAGACCGATAAAGATAACAGCTGTGACTAATGAACAAAACCTCCCATATCTATAAATTTTATCACTAATAACACCAGAGGATGGGCTCCGCTCATCGATGTGCTCAGTGGTGGGGAGGTGGCCATCACTCACTCACACTGACTCACTCCCCTCCCTCACTCACTCTCCCTCATTCACTCACTCCCGCTCCTTCCCTCCCTCCTCCTTGTTCCCTCCCTCTCCCTCCATCCACCTTCTCCCTCCCTGCCTCACTCCCTCACTCTCGTTTCCTCCCTCCCTCACTCCCACCCCCTCATTCCCCCCCTCCCCCTTTGCTCACTCCCTCTCCCACTCACTCCCTCTTCCCCTCGCCTCCCTCCCTCGTCCTTGCTCACTCCCCCTCACTCACTCCCCTTCCCCCTTGCTCACTCCCAATCCCCATCATTCCTCCTCCCCCTTGCTCTCACTCCCTCCCTCCCTCCCTCCCTCCCTCACTCCCCCTCCCTCTCGGTCGCCCACTACCCTTCCAGGGTGGATGGGGGTGGGGGTGGACGGAGGTGTGCGCCCGGGGGAAGTCAGGTCTGAGTTAAATCGATAAACACCCACAGGGAGACTGAAAGCGAAAAATAAATAAATAAACAAATAAATAAATAAAAAGCCCAAATATAATTTAAAGTTGCGGCTGTGTATTTCGGTCTCTTTATCTAATAATACTGGATTACAGCTCAGCAGCTGCTGTGTGTGTGTGTGTGTGTGAGATCTTCCCCAGGCTACAGCTATTCCGCTCTCACTTATTTGTTGTCTTGATTTGACAAACTTTTTTTTAATCAGCCGTTGCTTTATCCTATTACACAGCAATTAACCACTGCAGTAAATTCGGATAATTGGAAATTGGGCAAAGCGCGGTAACGATGAGCTTCTCGTGGAGACACGGGAGTGGCCGGGGTTAAACATCAGCACCGGCACCATGACCACTCTGCCACCTGCTGGCAACGCACCCTCTTAGCCCTTTGCCCTCCTCGTCTCCAGCCTGGTAGATAAGATGCACCTCAGTCACTTCAGAGACTTTCGTAATAGTATAGTACAGTACAGCGATGTTCTGGATTTAGACACACAGTAAAGCTCCCTCTATACTGTCTGTCCACACTCCCAGGTCAGGGTTAGAGACACAGTAAAGCTCCCTCTACACTGTGGGTCCACACTCGCAGGTCAAGTTAAGGGACAGGACCATATGAATTAAAATAATCCTTGCAGTTGATATAACATCCGTCATGTTAAAACTTCTCAAAGCACTTCACATGGAATCGCTGCCAAGCATAGTGACTCTGTATATTTTAGGCAAATACAGCTACAGCAATATCCCCCACACGCAGTGAGTGACCAATTTTATGTGAGGGACTGTTGGTCAGGACACCAGGAGAAACTCCCTTCACGTTGCTGATAACATCTCAGGAATCTTTAGCATCCACCTGAACAGGCACAGACAGACGGGAGGGAACGTGGTTTAACGCCTCAGCCAAATGTTAGGTTGACACTGAGGTGCTGAGCTTGCCAAACAGCCCTCGCTAAGTGTAATCACTGGAGAGTGTCCTCGCTCCCTTCACATCATTCAATTCTCGGAGGTGGTTGTGTGAACCCTGGGTGGGCCGCTAAATGAAAGTGACTGCGCTATTTGTGGAAACAGACAGATGCCAACTTCAATACAGCAGATGGCAATCGGAACGCAAGCCTCAGTGAGAGAGACACACACGCCTGGCCACACTCCACACTCCTCACCAAACTGTTGATCCTAACTCAGACATCCAGCACTTTCTTTTTCCAATTTTAATAATAATAATAATCCTGGCATTTGATAGAGCGCCTCATCACGTCTTCGAGACTTCTCAAAGTGCTTCACGGAATACACTGTAAAGTGAATTGACAGTATATTTTGTGGGCGAAATGCAGCAGCCAATTGCACGCAGCAGTGACCCATAAACAGTCGTGAATTGAGTGACAATACCATCACAATTTCACCCAAGTGCAAATTCTTTGTTTACATTCTCCAAATGTCACTCTTATCTACACCTTTGTTACCAGCCACTTGGGAGTTTTCAAATGCCCGCCCATCCTACACTGGTCTCCCTAGTTCCACCGTCAATAAACTCCGCTGCACATATTTTTACCCACATTAATTTCTACCCTGCTGAAGAATGCTATATAAGTGCAAGTTTGTTGTTGTTCTGCATGTCCAGTGTCCCCCCACTACCTTGCCTGCCCCCTCCTCTGGGCTTATATAGATTTTACTTACAGCGCAAAAATAGGCCACTCAACAACAAGACAGGACACTTACACAGTGCCTTTTACGTCCATAGGACGTCTCAAGGCACTGGATAGTCATCAATGCAAGTTGTTGTTGCTGTTGTTGTGTATGTTTGGTGTATACGGTGAGAGATGTGATATCAGTTGTTGTTGTTGTTGTTGTGTATGTTTGGTGCATACAGTGAGAGACATGGTATCCGTTGTTGTTGTTGTTTGCTCCTCTGCTGCAGTGGAGCCCAGGAGGGGTCATGGAGGTATCGGTGTCCCAGCATTCACAGCGTGGGTGAAAGTGCCCTATCAACTGCACTGGGCGGCCGTTTGTGTGCTTTACGTCACCAAAATGTGTGTACGTCTTGCGGCCGCGTCGCCGAAACGTGCGCACAAGGACTCTCCGTCATCGGAAAGCGGGTAGAAGAAGCTGCGGGGAGCGCGAGGAAAATGGCGACGGCGGCGGCAGTGAGAGAGGCAAGTGAGGGTCTGGCAATGGCAACCGCAGTCTTACACACCCGCCTGCAATTACCGCAGACCTGCTCAAGATGCAATTAGTATATATTATTAGCCTCCAGAGGTCTGCCCCAGGCACGCGCTACTCTGTATCAAACCGTCATAATAAATAATAATAATAATCCCTGCACTTGTTACAGGGCCTTATAATAATCCTATAATAATAATAATAATAATAATCCTTGCATTTGATATAGCGCTTTTCACGTCGGGAGGACGTCCCAAAGCGCTTCACAGAACACACTGTAAACACGGCAACCAATCGCTCCCAGTGAAGTCCCCACAACCAGTGGTGGATTGAAGGGACCAAATTATTATTTTTTTTGAAGGGGTTATTACCCCCGGAATTAATCGCCCTGACCCTCTTGTTTGCCAGGCGAGTGCTCTAACCACTGAGCTATAGGACTCCTCAAGTGCAAGTATTATTATTATTAATAATACTCTTACATTTGACACATCACCTTATCGCGTTTTTGAGACATCTGAAAGTGCTTAATAAGATATAATGTAAAGTGTAGTGACTGTGTATTTTGTGGACGAAACGCGGCAGCCAATTGCGCACAGCAGTGTCCCCACAAACAGTCGTGGATTGAGTGACCAAATTTATTATTGGGAGAAATGTGGGGGAAGGCAGGTAAATGGGACGCAGAGGTTTGCTCCTGCACAGATTAGTGCAGGCACGGTGGCTGGACGTGCTGTATAAACTAGTTGGTTCTTCATTTTATGAAACACATTTTTAAAAATTATTAAGATCATGCTTTCTGGCCAGGAAATGTGTAACTGTTGTGAGGAGATGTAGTCATAGTCAAAACATCGATGGTTCTTTCTCCAACCAACATGCAACCACCTGGCATCCTCAAGACTTACTCAACCAGAACTGGTGGTTGCTTTAGGTTGGATTACACTTGGTTTAGATTGTGTTTAGTCAGGTTGAAATGGGTTGCCTCAGTGTCGGGTTAGATTGAGATGAGTTTTGTCAGTGTCGGGTAAGATTGAGATGGGTTTCATTGGGATTAGATTCGGGTTTGATATTAAGGCTCTCACAGGCCTCTTGTTCTGGCTGATATTCCTCTCCCTTCAATTTCACCAAAGCAGATCAACATGTCATTCGCGAAACGGTGGGATTCGAGTGAAATCCTTGCTTTGAGAGGGATATTGCAAGGGCAGATTAAACATAGAAATCTACAGTGCAGAAAGAGGCCCTCCAGCCCATTGAACCTCACAGAGCAAGGATTTTACTTGAATCCCACCGTTTTGCTTTATCCTCATAACTCCTTCAAGCCTGTCTACTTCTCTCTTGAAAGCTACCAGATAGGCTTGTGTCTTGTAGCTTAGTGGTTAGAGCACTTGCCAGGCAAGAGAGAACATAGGTTCAATTCCCAGGCAGGGCGAAACCTTAGACAAGTTTCCTTATTCTACACGCCTCTGTTTACCTAGCAGTAAATAGGATCCCGGTTGTTAGTCACTCAATCCATGACTGCACCTTCTCCACCGCTTGGCCTCCCACCTCAACCTTCAAGGCACTGTCCTTGAGTGGTTTAGGTCGTACCTCTCCCACCGTCTTCACTTTGTTTCCACGAATGGCTTTTCCTCCAGCCCCCGCACTGTCTCGTGCGGTGTCCCTCAGGGGTCTGTCCTCGGTCCCCTCCTCTTCACCCTCTATATGCTTCCCCTTGGTGACATCATCCGCAGACATGGGGTTAACTTCCACATGTATGCGGATGACACCCAACTCTACCTTTCCTCCTCTACCCTCAACTCCACGACCACCGATGTCCTGACAGCTGTCTGTCCGACATCGAGTCCTGGACGAGAGACAACTTTCTTCAGCTCAACGTGCGTAAAACTGAGGCCCTCCTGATTGGCTCACGTCAGCGCCTCCGCACCTCAGGCGCTGACAGCATCAGCATCCAAGGCTGCACTCTCCACCTCTCAAAGCCGTCAGGAACCTCGGGTTCTGTTCGACCCTGAGCTGTCCTTTCTCCCTCATATCCGCACCACAACTGGCACCGCCTTCCATCACCTCCGGAACATCGCCAGACTACGGCACTACCTCACCCCTCACGCTGCTGAAACTCTGGTCCACACCTTTATCACCTCAAGGCTGGACTATGGGAACTCTCTCCTCGCCGGCCTTCCCGGCACCTCCCTCCACACTGCAGGTCATTCAGGACTCTGCAGCTCGTGTACTGTCCCGCACCAGACACCGCGCCCACATCACTCCCACCCTCGCTCGCCTCCACTGGCTCCCCATCCCCCAGAGGATCGAATTCAAGATCCTCACCCTCACCTACGAGCCATTCACGGCCTCGCTCCCTCCTAGCTCTCTAACCTACTATCCCCCTACTTACCTGCCCGTACCCTCCGTTCCTCTGGCTCCGGTCGGCTCCACATCCCCCGCCCCAACCGCCCTACCATCGGTGGCCGGGCCTTCAGCCTCTCAGCCCCGAGGCTCTGGAACTCTATCCCCCAGTGCCTTCGCCGCCTCCTCCCTTTTCTCCTTCAAGGCCGGTCTCGAGACCTTTCTCTTTGACTGTGCCTTCAGCTCCCCTCTCGATTCTCTACCTCCTCCTCACTCCCTCCCTTTCCTCACCCTGACCATTTCCCCCCAATGCTCGGATCCTGACCCGACTGTACAGCGCCTTGGGACGTCCTCCCGACGTGAAAGGCGCTCAATAAATGGAATCTTGTTGTTGTTGTTGCTGGGCAGAATTGGCAGACGCATTTCACCCACAAAATATACAGTCAATATACAGTATATTCTGTGAAACGCTTAGAGATGTCTCGAGACATGATAAGGCGCTATATCAAATGCAAGGATTATTATTATTACAGTTAACTCTGCCACCACTACCCTCCTGGGCAGGGCGTTCCACAATGCAACTGCGTGAAAAAAAATCCTCCTAAATTCCCTTTTCACTCTTCTTGTGGTGTCTTATATCTATGTCCCCGAGTTACTGACTCCTCAACCAGTGGAAATTATTTCTCTCTATTTAGCTGCTGGGTTTACCCATTCTACTGTACAATTTCACTCAATGTATTTCAAAATAACTCGCTGTGTGAAGCACTTTGAGATGTTTCCACATGATAAAATGCTATATCAAACTCAGGTTTTTATTTTTATCCTGTTTTTGCTATCACTACTTGACGTCCTTACATCTTCCTGCACGTTTCTCACCAGGTTTTGAAATTGCATGTGAAACAGGAAATCACTGTTCTTATCATCCTCCTCGAGAATCGGAAGTGGAGTGTGGATTCCACTCTCCCTGGCTGCCAAAATAGGCTTTATCTTGTTAAACTGACAGAATTAGGGCGCTCTGTAACTATAGCCAGCTGTTTGCATTATGTGGTGCACATACTGAGATCTGCTATTTCCAAACACAAGTTGGCAAAATAGTTAATTGGGTTCATTTTTATATTCTTATTTGCGCTGCAGGTAGGAAACCCCCCACACAGGTGGGCTCAAAGGTCACATAATGAGACCTACAACTGTGCTGTGGGCTAATTTTGGGAACGTTCCTCTGTATGTCACCTACAAGGGCATTGACCAGAAGTACAGTCAGGCCTTGTCAGCTGAGATTTGGAAAGTCTGTATGGACTTTTATCTGGAGAGACGCTTGTGTCACCGCTTTCCCACTAACAGCCGTCCTGAGCTTGTGGGCATAACAAGAACCACTGATCTCAAGTCGCCCACGGTGAGTCCTATAATGCCCTACTTCTGGGGTGTAATGCCCTGTTTCTGGGGTGTAATGCCCTGTGAGTCTGAGAGCTTGTACCTAGTGCAGTGTTCTACTACTACAACAACAACAAATTACATTTGTATAGATACCTTCATGTCAGAAAGACTTCCCAGGGCGCTGGATACTCAGGGTTTTTTTTTGACTACACTCAGTAATGAACACTATGTCCATCCGTCGGTGTCAACCGCGACAAAGTTATATCAAATGTTGTAGCTGTGCCTGGTATGTCTCCATTAATTCTCTCTCTGAAGTGAGCAAACCTGGACACTGCACATCGGTCTTTAGAGACAGCTTGTCAAAACAGCCTGCGGAGCTGTGAATTACAGTGCCTATCCCCCCCCCCCACCCCCATCCCCTTAACCAAGGCTGGATTAATGTACCACAGTTTGGAAATTGCAAAGAGAGAGGAGTCGGTGTCTGTTATTACTCCCTAACCAAGTGGCGGAATCTCCTTTACGCATGGAGTAATTGGATGTGCAGTATATAATTGTGACAGCTGGTTAATATTCACTGAAGAGTCTGGAACAAGCACCCAGGGAGGAATTAGGAGGAATTGAAATCTAAACAAACAGATGCTGTCATTTAAAAAATCAATTCACCTACAAAAAAAACACAGCCACTTCTATCTGATTTCAGATCCCTCCAACACACGTTCCAATGTGTTTCTTAATCTGATTAAGAATAAAATAACAACACAGCACTTTGAAACTGTCCACTGATTTATTTGAAGCAGAATTGCAAAGTAATTGCCCAGAGGAGAGGATGAGGGATGTTTTTAATGTGGTTTTACCTGGTGGTTATTAGTGGCTCCTGATAAGTACTTTCCGAGGGTTTGTTGTGCCTTCATTACATCGAGGTTCAACTATGCAAACTCACTGCTTGTCGGCCTCCCCAATTCCTCCCTCCACAGGCTGCAGATCATCTAGAACTCTGCAGCCCGTGTCCTCTCCCGCACTAGACTCCGCGACCCTATTACCCCCATCTTTGCCCAACTCCACTGGCTTCCCATCACACAGAGGGTACAGTTCAACAGAACAGAGGATACAGGTCCTCACCTTCAAAGCCCTTCACGGTTTTGCTCCCATTACCTCTCCGAGCTCCTAATCCCCTACCACCCTGTCCACTCCCTCCGCTCAGCCGGCTCCAGCCTGCTTCACGTCCCCCACCTTGCTCGCCCCACTATCGGTGGGCGGGCCTTCCGCCTCTCTGCACCCACCCTCTGGAACTCCATCCTGCAATCCCTCCATCTCACCCCCTCCCTCGCCACCTTTAAGACCCACCTCAAGACCCTCCTTTTCGCCTGTGCTTTCAATATCCCTGTTTTCCCCCCACCACTCTCAGCTCGGGTGTGTAACTCTATCTGTCCAGCGCCTTGGAACGTCCTCCCGACGTGAAACAAATGTAATTTTGTTGTTGTTGTTGTGCTGGGAGCAGGTTTCCTAAGGAGATCTGATCCGAAGCCGGGGCTTTGCTAAGACAAATTCGGGGGAAGCTGGTTAGTGAGTCGCTTGCTGGATGGCATTGATTTAAGATAATCAGCAAATAGTCAAACACAGAAGTTTGGAGAGTTTTTATACACAGAAGATCAATAGGACCAAACGCATTGCTCAAAGCTTTTCCTTCTTCAATAGTGTCACGATGATCTCGAACATCCATCTGAAGACATCGATACAAGGTCTGGCTAGGCTAGGATTTAACAGCTTAGGACATCCTCCCGCCATGAAAGGCGCTGAAAAAATGTATAAATGTAAATTTGTTGTATCAACAAGTCTCACACCCACCCCGGGCTCCTCAGCCTGGCTCAGTGGTAGTACTCTCACCTCTGAATCAGAAAGTTTGGGTTCAAGCCCCATGTTGGGACTTGGAATCACAGACTAAACTGACACTCTAATGTAGTGCTGGGGGGAATGTTGCATTGTCGGAGGTGCAAAAAAAATAAAGAGGATGCAAGAGATATGGAACAGTACATATTCAGTCTTAGTTGGGAAGCCGTTTCACTTCCAATAACAGTATCCAAATTAACAATGAATTTAAGGATTTTTCCCAAAATTCTGCACGATCTTAGACTGGTGTTAATGTTGCGTCCCAGGCCTCGGGAGCTCATCCCTTCTCTTACCTGGGGTATGTGAGGCGGTGGGTGGGGGGCGGGGGTGTGTGGACAGCTTGCGGCCCAGCTGGGCTGAGATTAGCTGACTCAGCTGGGTCTGGGAGTTTACTACCCACCCTTCCACCCCCCATGCTGGATGTTTAATTTGAATAAACTGCCACTTGATTAAATGCCAGCAAAGCCGAGCATGTTGTAAGCTACTAAATAAATGAGGTACTCAAACACAGAGAAGGTCAGAGATATTAGAATAAATCAGAAACATACGGAAACCAACATCTGCTTATCCCAGATCCCAATTGAAAGTGTCAGGCAAGATAAGCACACGAATAAAGACATTAAAAATCCCCTCACGAAAACCAGTGCATACCAGAAGTTCCAAGCTTACCAACACTTTATACATTCAGCTCAGGCACAGCTCGGGTTATACACAGAGTAAAGCTCCCTCTACACTGTCTGTCCACACTCCCAGGTCAGAGTTAGAGATACAATAAAGATCCCTTTACACTGTGCGTCCACAATCCCAGGTCAGGCACTCTATCAGTGTCATGGGTATGCGGCAAATAGTATTTTGGTTTAAGTTCTCAGATTGGATCCATGACAGTGCAGCATTCCCCCAGTACTGTCCTGATGTGTCAGCCAGGACTTTGAGCTCAAGTTCTGAGGTCAGATATAGAGCTGATCTCCAACCACCAGGCTATTGTTTTGAGGGCGAGACAGGAGAAAAAGCAGGGAGTTTGCTTCGTACTCTGCCTCTCTGAAACTAATTTGGTGCCAGAAAATCTCTGAAGCTCTTAAAATGTGATCAGCTTAACACAGTGGCTGCATTGGTGGCAGTCAGTACACCAGCTCCCTTATCAACAAAGCACAGCCCCTGGGGATCAGCCTCTGTCCACTAGCAAGCCCTCCATCGCTCGCACTCCCATCGACTCCGAACTCGAAACCACTGAGCACATTATTGCAGAGACAAAGAGCCGCCTGTCACACACTCCGCCCGACAGGAGCCTCGTGGCTATTGTGGGGGAGCCAAGAGAAGATTACACGTATAGTTTACAGCAACACAATCCAGGGAGAGAGAGAGACCGAGAGGCAGACAGACAGAACTCTGCTGTCTATCAAAGAGAATGTCAGATTTTGAGAAAAAAAATTAATCAGTCTGGTGTCTGACACATGGGAATCCATCAACGTGCTTAAGAGTCTCCAAACCACACTGAGAATCCCACATATATAGACCACCCACACGTGAAAACTTCCCTGTGTCTGATGATGATTTTGAAATCCTGCATTAGTTCTGGATATAAAAGATTGTTTTTATATACGGTATATATAAGAGTGAAGCTTAAAATTCTCCCCCAGTCACAGACACTTTTGTTTTCATTTCAAGAATAATGCAGAATTCATCAAATCAAGTTATAATTTTGAAGCTGGCTTATTATATTTTTAAGAAACTGAGTTAAAAAAAATACAGCGTCCAAATGGATTGAGGAATTCCACCATTAATCAGACAGCCCAAGTTACATTTTAAGGCAAAATGGACTGAGGGGCTGAGACTGGGGGGAATTAAAGGTCTCTGGTGTTGTGTCTTTGCGTCTGCAAAGGAGGGAGAAGAAAACGATGGGGTAGAGGGGGGCGGGGAAGAGTTTAACAGGGCTTGGAGGAAGCAGGATGTGGAAACCCACTGATACTTTGGTCTGTATTGGTAAAGCCGGGAAGTGCACACATTCCCTCTACCCTGAGGGACAGACGGACCATTGCTCATCAGTACACAGTAACTTGACGTTCATTCTGTTCTGTGCAGGAGCTTCCTGACCGGCTGGTCTGTCAGACACGGCAGCAGAGCTGAAACCTCTGTCGCTGTTGGGTGCCAGACCGACGTGGATTCCGAGCCGGATATAAGCCCCAGCAGCTCAAACACCCGAACTCCCACTCCCTGGAAATCACCTGTTTGGATGAAAATGAATAGCGGCCGGTTCTGTGTGAGGAATTCCACCCGTTCTTAGCCATAAAGACAATCATCTTGGATTCGCACAGAAGTCCAGGCTGAATGTAAGGAGTTTAACCAGCCTTCCTTCTGCTCCTCCCTGAATTTTGGATACTGTTTTCAAGGGAGTTGAGATGTCCTGCCTGTGGCCGGAGGTGAGAGCGCTGCTGCCACCCAGAGACGAGTTGCTGGGCCTGGAGTTCAGCGAGCAGGTGGAGGAGAGCGTGGTGTACGTGCTGAGACAGGCCAGCGAGCTGCTGTACTGCGGCCAGGACCCCCAGCGCTGCTCACAGCTCGGTCAGACAGTGCTGGACCTCTCCTGGGAGAGACTGAATGGCAGGGCGTGGAGAGAGGTGGACAAGGAGTGGAGACGAGTGTATTCCCTCGGGTGTCTGGTCAAGGCGCTGTGTCTGTGCCGGGAGGAGACCGATGACAGCCTGAGCCAGGCCATCGCAGCGTGTGACATGGGCTTGCTGATGGGGGCGTCCGTGCTCGACAACATCCTGCTGCGGCTGGTGCAGGTGCTGGAGCCTCGCCAGGCTACCGGCAAGAGGTCACTGCACAGTGCCGGCCACCGGGAACACACCAGCACCAAGGTACTGGCTCGGGCCAGAGTGACTCAGGCCCACACAGCTTAGCCCAAGGGAAGGGAGGCTTTAGCCAGGCACTGGGGGTTACAGTGTTCACTGCAGAGCTAGGTACCTACACCAACTGGGTCAGCTCCACTGGGAATAAGGAAAAAATGTGAGCCTGTGTGTGTCTCTCGCTAACTGTGTGTGAGTGTGTGTCTCTATCTAACTCTGTGTCTCTCTCTAACTCTGTGTGAGTGTGTATCTCCCTCTAACTCTGTGTGTGTCTTTCTCCACATAACTGTGTGTGTGCACTTCTTGTGTCTCTCTCTGTAACTCTGTATGTGTGTGTCTATCGCTCTCTATTCTGACCTGCTGTCTCAGGTCCATCATTCACTGACATGACAGGGATGTCTCCCAGACCGGGGGGAGGGGGGAGTAGCTCTGCTGGAGTCCTTCCATGTCAGGGTTTGTTGGGGACAGGGTCCTTTCCCTGCTTGGGTGTGAGCTGAGTGGGACCACTGTTAACCCAACACCTCTGAATGGCCATAATTCATCTGTAATTGGCTGTGAATTGTCAACCTCACTCAGAGAAGACAAACAATAATTGGCATGGGAGCCAGCAATGTTACACCGACTGCATGTTCTGTGTCAGTGAATGTTATTGTCAATCTGTGTCTGTCACACGTGCCTCCGATAGCCGGCTTTTAAGAATTAGAATTTATAGCACGAGGAGGCCATTCGGCCCATAGTGTCTGTGCTGGGGCTCGCTCCCCCACTGGAGCTCTTTACTCTAACCCCATTCCCTGCTCTCTCCCCATCGCTTCTGTGTGATTGGAGAAGATCAGTGCTGTTCTCCACAGTAAAGTGTAAGAATTATTGTTATTAGAAAGCATTTGGTGTAAAGTAATTTACTTTAATTTGCAGCGACTGAAAGCGTGTGCGGGGTGGGTGCCTGAGATCAGAGCTGAGGTGGCTGTGCCTCGCGTGAGCCGGCCCTCACTGGAACACTTCCGAACCGAGTACCTGGTCCCACAGAGGCCTGTGATCCTGGAGAACAGCATCGAGCACTGGGCAGCCCTGACTGAGAGGAAATGGAGGTGAGAGACACTATTCCAGACCTTCAGAGAGACGCTATCCCTGCTCACACTCATGGAATTTCCCTGGACTGTGGAGCGGTTTGATATTTGAAGCGCTGTAAATGCACAAGGTCTCGCAAAGCTTTCCACCGGCTTCGGGTGGTAAAGGCAGAGAAGACCGGTTCCCTTTCGAGCTGTAATTTCTGTGAAGTAAAGTGAATAGATTGGGTTTACACTGGGACCCTGCTATTCCTGCCTCATTATTAAGATGTACCGGCACTTCCCATCCACGGCACACAGTCTCTCGGCCACCTCTGAGATGAAGGATAATTAACCCGTCTGCAGTAACCTTCATCCTTAAATCACACTGTAAATTGTGCCCACAGCGTTCAGATATGGCTCCTTCTTCCTGCAGCCAATTCCTCCCCCTCTCCTGTCCAGCACCAGTGTTAAACACTTATTTTTGCATGTTTTTTTATCCAGCGGGATGGTGACACACCTCTGATTGTGAGCATTACACGACTGGTGAGTCGCCATTGTCAGGAACATTAGGTGGGGCTCTGTGCTCTAATCCCATTCCTGCTCTTTTGTACATCTGGGCGGCTGAGCACCGTCGCTCTAACCTGACGGCAATCGTGCACCAAGCCCCCACCCGGCGAGGAGTGAGTGTTGTACACAGGACACACTGACCAGGTGTTGCCTACTGCTGTGTGTTGTTCTCTCGCAGCGTGGAGTACATCCGCCAGGTTGCTGGCTCTCGCACTGTGCCTGTGGAGCTTGGCTCCCGCTACACAGACGAGGATTGGTCTCAGAGTCTCATGACAGTGGACAGGTTCACTGCTGACTACATACTGGATCAGGTACGTCTCGGACACCAGTGGTTACAACCTGGGCCGATTCCTGGCACGGTGTGGGGGTGGGGGAAAGGGGTGGTGAGAGAGGGGAGTGGATGCGGGGGGAGGGGGTGGGGGGTAGCTGTCCTTTGGATGTAACATTAAACCAAGGTGCCGTCTTTGCCTGTACAGGTGGATGATAAAGATCCTGTGATGTTTGGGAATTTCTCAGAGGGCCGTGGCCAATAATGCCCTGGTTGAGCATTTAGCATTTTGGGATGTCCTCCCAATGGGAAAGGTTCCTGGCTTGGGGTGGGGAGCCTGCTTCCTGCACGTATTTATAAATATAACTTGTATAAATCAGTCATTTACTTAATGGCTCTTTGTGGGACATTGGTCAACAAACTGGCTACAGTGATCACTTACAAAATACAGTCACTGCACTTGACAGTAATTTCTTGTGAAGTGCTTTGAGACATTGATGAGGTATTTTCCTTCATAAACCTCTGGACTCTGTTTCTCTCTGCAGTCAAACGAGCGCCCCATTGGATATCTCGCCCAGCACCAGCTGTTTGAGCAGGTGAGGCATGTTCTCTACACATACAATGGTATCATCGTTCTGTCTTTTGGATGAGATGTTAAACCGAGGGCCCGTTTGCCCGTTTAGGTGGACATTAAAGATCCCATGGCACTATTCGAAAAAGAGAAAGGATTTCTCCCAGTGTCCTGGACAACAATCCCACAAATAAAAAAAACTCATTCTTTTCATGGCTGTTTGTGGAATGTTGCTGTGTTCAGTTGTGCTGCTGCGTTTGCTTACAAATACACACTGCATTTCACAGTATTCCTGTGAAGCGCTTTGAGATGTCCTTCCGACATGATAAGGCACTATACCAATTGCATGGATTATTATTATTCCCAGTGGGAATGTGTGCCGTCAGACACTCCTCAGGGGAGAGAGTGAGCGAGAGGTGAGGGGGCTTAGACTGAGTGGCTCAGTGAAGGAAACCACCAGGGTGGATGAAGGGTCTGCACAGCCTGTCTCTACTGTGAGACTGTAAACCGTTGCAGTTTTTGCTGCCAATTTACTTGCTCCTCCTTTAATCTTCCCTCAGATTCCAGAGCTGAAGCGGGACATTAACATTCCCGACTACTGCTGCCTCGGGGAGGGGGACGAGGACGAGATCACCATTAATGCCTGGTTCGGGCCGGCAGGGACTGTTTCCCCCTTACACCAGGATCCTCAGCAAAATTTCCTGGCTCAGGTCAGTGACACTGTCACCCTACACTCTTGAGACTACCTCTCCCCTATCGCTGCCCCTGACAGATTTCCACAAGACATCAGCTCTTCCAGCTGATGGTCTGTGTTGACACTTCAGCACAGTGGGGAGGGAATAGAACAAGCGCTGTATTGTCAGAGGTACAGCCTTTGGATGAGTAGTTGAACCAAGGTCTCATCTGTACTCTCTTTAAGGACCTTAAAAGATCCCACAACGCTATTGAAAAGGTTTCTCTCTCCCTGTGTCCTGGCCAGCAATCTCCCAGGTAAATTGCTCGTTTATTTCATGGCTTTGATGAGATATTGCTGTGCACAATTTGGTTCCCGCGAAAGTATAACGTATTCAAACAGGTGGACTGTTTTTTTTTCTGTTTGCGGAGTGTTGTTTGCTTTCTGTGCTCTGCTGTTACAAGATCATCAGAGAAAGAGCAGAGACGAGGGGAGTCTGTAATTATAAAACAACTTTGGGCTTTTGTTTGAGTAATGAAATTACTAAATCCAGTTCTTGCACCGTTGACTGACAGGTGATGGGAAGAAAGTACATTCGCTTGTACTCCCCTGGCCAGAGCGAGAGGCTGTACCCACACCCAACACAGCTGCTGTTCAACACCAGTCAGGTGAGGAGGTCGCCTGGTGGGGGGTGGGAGGAGGTGTGTATGCGTGACATTGATCACAGGTGAGAGGACCCCTGAGCACAACAGAACTGTTGCAGTACAACAAGATTCCATTTATTGAGCGCCTTTCACGTCGGGAGGACGTCCCAAGGCGCTGTACAGTTGGGTCAGGACCCGAGCATTGGGGGGAAATGGTCAGGGGGAGGGAAGGGAGGGAGGGAGCGAGGAGGGGGTAGAGAGTCGAGAGGGGAGCTGAAGGCACGGTCAAAAAGTACTGACTTGCTGCCAGGAGAGGGCACCATTGTAGCTTGAAGAGCATGAGATGTCACTCTCTGAGTCATTCTCTCGGGACACAGTTGCTCTCTACCCGGTCGCGCTCTCTTCACTGCTGGTCCTCAATGTGTTTCATTCTACTTCAGGTCGATGTTGAGAATCCGGATTTGGAGAGGTTCCCGGAGTTCGGATCGGCCATCTTTCAGGAATGTCTCCTGGATCCAGGAGAGATTTTGTTTATCCCGATCAAGTACTGGCATCACGTGCGGGCGCTGGACACCAGCTTCTCCGTCAGCTTCTGGTGGCACTGAAACCCGAGGGCAGCGAGGGAATGAGCGGGAGGATGTACCTCGCTCTAATAAACCTCGGTAACTCAGAGCTACGGCTCACACCCTGAGCACAAGGCATTGTTTGTTTAGAGGTGAGGAATTCCTGGTAGTCTCATCCACACAAGGGGGTGAGTGGGAGATAAATGAGTCACAAGTAGGACCTCACTGGCAAGTACTTGGCTGCTATGTTTACCTGCAAAAGCAGTCAGGCTTCAACTCAAATCTGCGCTAAGACCACATTAACTCAGAGTTTGGGGTTGGGGCAGGGGAAGGAGAAAACAACAAAGGTGTTTAGATGTACAGGGTGATATTTTCAGCAGATATTTAAAACGATGTATTTTCTAACTTCTTGTAGTTCTGCCTCTTGTGTGATTGTGGCGTGAAGTGAGCAGAAGTGAAAGAGGAAAGAAATCGAACTCATTTTGATCTGTTCCACATGAGTCTGTTCAAAAACTGTTCACATTAGCTGCCTGAACGTTCACAATCCCCTCCCTCACTCACACACACATACCTACTCACTTGCACTTCTTCCTCTCATACACATCCTCACTCACACACGTACACAAGTTCTCACACACACACACACACAGACACTTCCTCACTGGAATAAGAGAAGGAACTTTGGCCCAGGCTGCGGGAGGCCAGTGGCCCAGGCTGCGGGAGGCCAGTGGCCCAGGTGCGGGAGGCCAGTGGCCCAGGCTGCGGGAGGCCAGTGGCCCAGGCTGCGGGAGGCCAGTGGCCCAGGCTGCGGGAGGCCAGTGGCCCAGGCTGCGGGAGGCCAGTGGCCCAGGCTGCGGGAGGCCAGTGGCCCAGGCTGCGGGAGGCCAGTGGCCCAGGCTGCGGGAGGCCAGTGGCCCAGGCTGCGGGAGGCCAGTGGCCCAGGCTGCGGGAGGCCAGTGGCCCAGGCTGCGGGAGGCCAGTGGCCCAGGCTGGAGCGATGAATAGTTTGCAACTATTTCAGGGACCGTATTTAAAACCAAGGACTGTGCTGCCATCCGGTGGCAGACACAGGAAACACATTCACCTTCAGAGCTCACACTTAGCACATAATTCCCTATTGAAACGGTCTCAGTATAAATAATTTACACTTCTACACTTTTCCCGTAGGAATAACGTCATCCTGTCCTGGCCCTCTCCATTCCACCATTAGCTTCAGCCATTCTGCCATCCCCACTGGTTACAAATGAACAGTGCGGGTTTGGGCCTGACCTGAGAGCGCTGCTGAAACAACAACTTGTATTTATACAGCCCCCCCTCACGCAGGGTAGTGTCCCAGAGCCGACGGGGTGGGTGGCACGGACATCACGGACAATTATTTCTGGACAATACAGAATGCACAGAACTCTCTTCTCCCTCGTCCCCAAAACACACACAAGAATATTTCAACTAACAACTTGTGCAATTTTATTTGCTAACAGCTACAAATGAAAGGGGGGGGGGAGACAAACCTCTCCTTATGCTCCCGTGGTGTTACTGGCAGGGGGTGGGGGGAGGGGGGCAGAGGGGGGGATCCTGTGTGCTGTGGTGTTGTTGGCAGTGGGGAGGGAGGGGGGCAGTTGGGGGGATCCTGCGTGCGCTGTGGTGTTGTTGGCAGTGGGAGGCCAGGTATGCGCTGCTCCTGGTGTGTTCTGTTACAGCCGGCCACGGTGGCACTGCTCTTCGGAGCCTCTCGGTGAAAGTTTACTTCATTCCAGCGGTAAATTGCCACTCATAGCTGCATAGGATTTAACAGTAAAGTGTAGTGACTGTGGTTTGGGCTCAAAGCAATTGGAGTGCGGCTGACCTGCTGCACGCACTGCACTCTAAACGCGCAAAGGATGTCTCTGACCCCCATTCTACCCAGGTTACAGCACCACACAAACAGCCCCGCACTTTCCTGGAAATACGCTCATTCCCGGTGCCGCCGCTTTGCCCTCTGTGTGGTGGCTGGGGGTGGCATGGACAGTGTGGCCGTCTGTATTTCTGGACACAAAGAAACATCAGGTCAGAACCATGCCCAGCCTGCTGGGGTGAGGGAGGCTTCAAGATGTGCGCAAATTGCAGGGAGAGAGCAGGGAATGTGGTTAGAGTAGAGAGCTCCAGTGGGGGAGTAAGCACAGACATGATGGGGGGGGGGGGTGGGGGGAGAGAGAGAGCGGGGAATGGGGTTACAGTAGAGAGCTCCAGTGGGGGAGCGAACGCCAGCATAGATGGGGAAACAGGAGAATGTACAGTATATAATGGTCATGTTAGCTCTACTCTGGATAACAAACAACTACTTGCATTTATCTAGCACCGTTCATGCAGGGTAACGTGTCAGAGCGCTTAACAGTGGCAGAGCCTGAGTCTGAGCAGGTGGGGGGAAAGGTGGCCGTAAGAGGAAGGTCAAAGAGGAAGGTCTTTAGGTGGAACTTTAAAAAGGGTAGAGAGCCTCTCAAGCACACAATGCAGGGTATAGATTGGTGACCTTGAGCAAATATTGGTGTTAAAATAATGATATGCATGGCACAAGCTCGTTTGTAAATTGAGTGAGATAGAGTACAGAAGCTACGGCCATTAATTATTTCAGGGTCGGGCTACAATTAACGCTGATTTTATCTCAATCAAGTGGTCCTTTTAAGGCTTTGCATGCACCTATCATAATGGAGGATTCAGTGTCGGACCTTGAGGTGAAAAGCACATCAGCAGTGGAGCTGCAAAGCTAAAAATTGCAGCAGTAAAATCTGCCCTAATTAACACAAGCTTCCGCCCAGCCTCCTCTAATAACCCAATCATTGATTAAATGGCTATTACCTGGAATCTCATGAGGCCAGAACTGGTTACAGCTAGGACAGCATGGCTCACTGCGACCTTGGAAATATCTGGCAACGCACGGGTAGTGAATTTTAACCCCACAGCTCTCGCACATCTGACCCTGAAAAGCCATCCCGGGAAAGAAACTTGAGTGAAAACCAGAGAACAATCCCAGGGCAACGTTGTACAGCACAATACAGTCAATTCACTTTACAGTGTAATCTGTGACGCACTTTGGGACATCTCGAAGATGTGATAAGACGCTATATAATAATCGTTGCATTTGATACAGCGCCTCATCACGTCTTTGAGACGTCTCAAAACGCTTCACAGAATACTCTGTGAAGTGAATTAACTGTATATTTAGTGGGTGAAACGCGGCAGCCAATTGTGCACAGCACTGTCCCACAAACAGTCATGGGTTGAGTGACCGACCAAATAGTAATTTTTTGCAAGGATTATTATTATTATTATTATTCACGTCGGGAGGATGTTAACAGATTGTTGAGAGCGCATTTCCTCCGCTCTCTACCCATTTGTGCAACGAGGACAGTTTCACGTGTAAACAAAATGCAAATTACTGCAGATGCTGGAAATTTGAAACAAAAACAGAAGTCGCTGGGAACACTCAGCAGGTCAGGCAGCATCTATGGGGAAAGGAAAGTGAGTCAATGTTTCAGGTCCATGACCATGCTGAGTGTTCCCAGCGACTTCTGTTTTTGTTAGTTTGACGTGTACCTGAATGGCGATGTTGTGACAGATATTACACTCCTTCACCAGCTCCTGGTACATGTTGCGAATATATTGCTCCAGCTCCATAATGCAGCGTGTGCTCAGGATATACTCCCCCTCTCTCTTAACAAGGAAGAGGTGAGACATTACAAAATCACTGGAATATTTACTTTCAAACAAAAGAAAATCTACACAAGCCACTGTTTGGATGAAGAATGTCCTTCAGCCCATTTGACCCCCCCCCACCCCCCACCATGATGCCTCCCTCTCACACCATCAAGCTGTCCAGGGCCCTGACCACCTTCCATGCCAGACACTGTGGTCAAGAGGTGCTGATTACCTCACACAGCCACTGCTCCTGCACAAAACGCTGAAGGACCTGCTCCACTTCCTTCTTCTTCATTTTCTTGGGTTCGAGCTGATCAGCGAGGTTGAGGATGTCAGTGGACGAGGCCATCCCGTTTTCAGACTCCATTACCAGGTCCATCTGACAAGACAAAGTTACTTTCAACATTAAAGCCCGTTCCGCTAGCGCCAAGTTGTGACACAGTCAGCCTACAGCATAACAACGTCTCAGGGCACTTCTTAGGCAATTGTATTTGCGGTCCCACACACAACCATGTGACTGACTGATTTATCAGGAGGATTGCTGGAAAATACCAACTACAACTTAGGAGCATTTTTACAGCACCCTTTGCTGGGTAGCGTCTCGGAGCATTTAAATTCTCTCCTCTCTAAAGTGTACGTGTGGTTCTGAGGTACACCACCAGCCAGATATGGGAATGGGAGCTTCTGACTAGTGTGATCAACTAAACCAGACAGGGTTTCTCTCAATGAGCAATAATGTGTTAGTGAACAGAATGAGCAAAAGGATGAGCGATCCAGTACAGTAAAGCTCATGTTCCTAGTAACAACAGACAGCCACCATTAGTGAGTCACTACCTGGACCAATAGAAAAGTGAGTAAATATTTGCCAAACATTGTGGAGAAATTTGCCCGTGGCTGCGGAAAATTACGGGGCCCTGGATGGTGCTATTGCGGTACATTTTACTGCCAACCTACATTTTTTACATCGCTACCATCACTACCGCACAACAACTTGCATTTATAGAGCGCCCATCACGCAGGGTGGCATCCTAGAGCGCTTGGACAATAGAGACAGAGAAGAAATTCACTCACGGTTTTCTTAAAGAGCTCCAGCTCGGTCTCGGTATAATCGAACGCCATCCTGGTGATCTCAGTTTCTGCAAGGTTCACCTGAGGCACAATGGCAGGACCCTGGATTACCAGCCCATCCTTGTTACGGCATCTCAGTCTAGAATTCACTATTTACCCATGAGGGGCGAGTGGGGCCTATCCACCAGCGGTTGTGTCACAGAGAAGATCACGTGGATCTGGGGGGGGGAGAAGGGGGGAATTGTTGAGCAGCGGGGCACGAGAGTACAGGATGTGAAGAGCAAGTTTAGGTCAGAGGGGGAGTTGGAGCAAGGGTGATGAGGGCCAGGATTCAATACAAAGAGCTCAAAGCTGCACCAACAACAAAACCAGGTGAAGATTCTGGAAAAATGGAATCAAAATGGGCTGGAGGGCCCTACTTTACCCGAACCAACCGTGTAAACATTCCACTTCCACACCTCGGGAATGAAACATGAAGCTTCGGACAGCCACAGTGCTGGCTGGTCCTGCCTGTATAACTGGGCATTCATCCTCCTGCCCCTTATCTCATCAGCGTGAGGCACCAGTGCTTTTGTACCAATTCCTCCACCCCAGAGCCGGCTCTGTACTTACCAGCGCGCAGTACTGCCGGCCATCTTCCTCGCTCATCCCTTTCCTGATCTCCATGAAAAGCGGCCGCAGCTGCCCATTGATAGCTTGGATGAACTCCTCCAAGTTTTCAGGAGTGTGGTGCCCTAGAGAGAAGGGAGCGGATTATAGCTCTCCTGACATAAAATGTGCAAAAACAAGAGGGTATTTTGCCTACCTATCACTTACCCCATCACTGTTAACCCAACCCATGCCCACACCCTTCACTTTCTACAATATGGACAGCTCTGTATGGAGACTCCATGAAAGGGGGAGAGGAGATAATTCTTCCACTCGCTAGTTCTGTTTGGAGCTTTAGAATTAATCCCTACTTTCTCCTTTAGCTGTGCTCTGACAGTCTAACTCAATCAGTGTTGATCTGTTTAACATGTACGTTAGCTAGGCCTCTTCGTTTTAGTACGATCTAGTTCTGACACCATTCAGGGAGGTGGGAGGGGGAGTTAGAAGAGTGTACAACATGTACAAGTCTTTTCTCATGGTTCAATTTACTATCACCACCAGATAGAGATCTGTAACCATCGACACCTCACCCTTAGTGATGTATAATGCAAGTCAATATGAAGAGAGAATTAAGATCTATATCTATAATGTGGGAAGTTTCACACCGCTCACGTGCAGGGCAAACTCTAACCCAACCAGTCACTGAATGAAAGTGCACAGCAATAACAGTATTTTTGACCACATCACACAGTACAGTGTTTACTGGAATTGCAAATAATCACAGGAGTCTTACTGGCTGAGTGTTTCAGAAATGTTGGTCTCAGTTCGATGAAAAGATATCATAAATTTGGTTGTACTAACTAACTAACCCGGAAAAAGAAAAAGATATAATGCTTTTCACAAACACAACAACAACAAGTTGCATTTACAATAGCGCCGTTCATGTCGGGAGAACGTCCCAAACACTCTGGGATGCTACATTGTGTGAGGGGACACTGTATAAATACAAGTTGTTTTTGTCCCAATGCGCTGGACAGACAAGGGTTTATATCCGAGCTGGGGGTTGGTATCAAGAGAGGTGGAGGGCAGGGGCGATATCAACAACCTGGGTACAGACATAATTTGTTTATCAGATTGAGATTACATCAGAGTCGCCATTCCACACAAACATCAGCAGTTATCAGCACTCTGTAAAAGAAGGAACCGCTTGTAACAAATCGCAAGGAGCAGAATGCAGCGATTCAAGTTTAGCACGTTTAAATAATGATAATAATCTATACATTTGATATACCGTCTATAACTTCACAACGTCTCAAAGCAATTTAAAGTTAATTACCATCCATCAACCATAGTGACTTTTTGTAGGTAAACTTGGGCAGCAAAACTACACACACCCATGAACGGCCAAAGCATGCGAAGGATTGTTGGGCAGGGTAGCCTCTGAGAGAAACACCCTGCTCTTTCCACTTAGATTTAACATCCACAAGACATCTCAGTTTGACAACTCATCAAAGCACAGCACTTCTGACAATGCAGTGCTCTGCCAGGACGACATTGGAGCATCAGTTTAGATTGTGAGCTCAAAGCCCAATGTGGGGTTTGAACCCATAATGTGAAGCAAGTGCTTGACCAAGAGAAATAAACAGCAGAGAAGATAATAAAAACTATTATTCAGAGGTTCAATAGAAAGTGTAATTGCTCACTACAAATGAAGCCAAGACCGTAACAGCAATAAAAGGAAACTGAATAAACACTTGAGGAAAAATAATATTAAAGGATATGGAGATAGGTCAAGGGAAAGGGATAAGAGTGGAGAGCTCCAGTGGGGGAGCTAATATTAGCACAGACTCAGCAGGGAATGGGATTAGGGTAAACTCCATTGGGGGAGCGAGCTCCAGACACAAGCAGACAAGAGCAAGGGAATGGGATAGCACCCTTCAAGCAGGATAGCGTGTCAGAGCACTGTAAAAGTGGATAAGGGAGCTCCTGTGGGGGAGCAAACACCAGCACAACCCTTCATCAGAACGGGTCATGGATCCAAAACGTTGACTCACTTTCCTTTCTCCATAGATGCTGCCTGACTTGCTGAGTGCTCCCAGCGATTTCTGTTTTTGCTTTCAGATTTCCAGCATCTGCAGTATTTTGCATTTTGTTTATACAGATAGAGATATTTACCAGCCAGAAACTTCAAAATAGTTTGAGCCTTGTTTATTCCTACTTACTTTGCAGTATGGAATAACAGCAGCAAAGTCATGTATGAAGTATCTGTGGGAACAAACTGAGGGAGTGACTCAGTTTTTTTCGTCTTTTTTTTGCTACTAGTTAGCAATCTTCTCAAACAAGTCAAATTATTACAGTCAAAATCAGATGGTGAGGTGGTATTTTCCCCAAAATAAAATCCCCACCAACCACAGAGAGAATGTATCTTGGTGGGTCTTGTGGGGGAAAGGGCGGGAGAGTGAAACTAAACACATACTCTTTCACAAGCACAATGAAGCGAATGGCCTCCTTCTGTATTGATTATACGTGAACATGATTCCTAAACCCAGTACAATGTGGGGAATCAATTCACCTCAGCGTTCCCAGAAAATAATAATCTTTCATGTCAGATACCAGAACACTCACTGCAGCTTTGGAATTGAACCCAGCAGAGATAAAAAGGGATGAGAGAAAGCTACACATTGCTGGCTTTAACATACGGTTATCATCACCGAATACCTTGCAGCGACACCTCTCTCTTATTGGAACTGCTTTACACATCATCCACACATAAAGCACAGCACCTTCCCCAAACTCTTTTTGAAACTCAATCACAGGATATATTAAACAAGCCAGTTGAGCCCTTCCCTGATGGCTCGGGTAAGGAGCTAAAATCTTCGAAACTGAAACATTTTCAGCTCATGACAGGTTTGATGATGATATAGTGCAATATCAAATGTAAGGATTATTATTATTATGAAACAACATGTTTGCCAACGACGTTTTTTTCACCAAGACCTGCCTTTAAATAAAGGTATACTGGGGGAGTTATCTACTTGTGCAATGCAGATTAAATCAGTGATCTTTCCAGGTACTGCTGACAAAACTGAAAATGGCAAATCGGCCCCCTCAATATGTAATTCGAGGATGTGGGCTGTGTAACCACTGAGCTTTCAATTTTGAGCATCACTCCTCCTGCCGATATACAGATCAGAGACACCTTGGAGTGGGGAAATGGAAACAAAACACTGCTTCCATTTCTCTGTGAATGTCACTGTCTGTTTGAGACCAAGTTTTTACTGGGTAACTTCCTCCCCAAACCCCCAGAGGAATTTTCTACATCAACAGTTTTAGGAAGTAGAGTTGTATGTTAAGTTGTGCGGCCTACTCTTTTTGAAGGGGAACTTTATCTTAACTTCTCACAGCACATGTGTGTATTTACTCATATTTAAACTCAAACTCAACATTTTATGGCTATTCTTCCCCTGAGTCCACAAACGTAGACAGCCTAAGACAGAAAGAAATGAAAAATGAATTATTTGTAGCTCCAGAAATAGGACTGTGGATAGAGTGGGTGTACAGATTGAAATTCATGCTTCTAGATTCTTACATTGTAATCACCTTATACCAGAGACGCCTCTAAAAGCCCTGGATACTGCACTTCCTCACTTACATGCTGGTGTCCTGAGGAAATACACTAACGACAGTGTGCTACCACCAGCTTCCCATGGTAAAATATGGGCAACCTCCAAGATGTCCAAAAGTTTCTAAGCCATTATAATAATACACTAATAATCTTTCTATTTGATACAGCGCCTTATCATGTTGTCGAGACTTCTCAAAGTGCTTCACAGGATATTCTGTAGTGTAGTTTTGCGAGCAAGAGCAGGAAGATGGCTGACCTTGGTGAGTTCCACAGCAGTGTCGGTGCAAACTTTTGACCTCGGAACCTTCCAAGATTCCCTGAGACATCATCGTCTGCAGGAACCGCTGATGACTCTCATTCAGTGGTGACCCCATGTGGATCCTCTTACCCAGCCTAGGAGAGAAACCGTCCGTTTACTGGCGTGCTCGTCAACTTCAACTTTCGTCCAGACAAAACCACAATGCCACACTTTCTGCTGTTCCAAAAACATCAGCCTGGCTCAGCCGCTGTGCTCTGGCCGCCAGGCAGAAGATTGGAGGTTCAAGCTCCTACATCTTTGAGCTCAAGCAGAGCATTGGAGTGGGGAGAGAAGGGAGTGAGGATAAATGCTGCATCATCATCCTTTTTTGGATGAGACGTTGAATCTTGATCACTCAATACATGTTAAAGATCCCGCTGCACTGTTGAGAAACGAGGAGTTTCTCTGCAGAGTCCTGGCCAACAATCCCCACCCTAATGGCCACCTTGGCTGTGTAGTGACTGTGTGTGTGTTAGTGTGTGTGTGCAGGCGGGAGATCCCACCGTGCACAAAATGATGCAAAGTGCAGCGGCTGTCGGGTTTCGTTAGCCAAATAGACTTTGCGGCTTTACAGTGAGGCGCTTTGAGACGTCCTCCCAACATACGGCGCTGTGTAAAACGTACGATTAGTATTCCTCCCCCACCACAGCTCTGAAGCGAAGGACCAAAAATGGACTCCCGGCTCAAAGGACCCCGACTTGGGTGCTTTTTTTTCGGGGGGGCGGGGGTTGGGGGTGAGGGGCGTCAGCCCGGTGTCTGACACCCGCAGAGACCCCATCACCGTTGAGTATCCAACCCAAGCCGAGAATTCCATGTTTCCCACCTGCACATGGCGGGGAGAGGGGGGGAGGGGAGAGGGGGTGAGGGGAGAGGGGGGGGGGGGGGAGAGGGGGGCCCAGAGTTTGTGACTAACTGTTGGGGAGTCCAACCAACTAAACCCACACATAGCTCAGCCCTGTGTGTGTGTGTGTGTGTGAGAGAGAGAGAGAGAGAGCGCTGTCTGCAGGTTAACAGGAGCTGAGGGGGAGGATTCCCCCCTCAGTGACTGCTCGGCCCCCCCAGGTCCTGCCGCTGAGCCAGGCCGGGGCTGTGCGGTCACCAGCGGCGAGTGCCCTGGGACACTGCTCCTCAGCACAGAGTGTCGGTGACTGAGGGACACACAGGCCTGAAGCCAACTCACCGCCAAACTCCGGGCCGGACTGGGCTGCTGTGAGGCTGTGTGGGGAGGCCCCGGGCCGGGCGCTGTGAGGCTGTGTGGGGAGGCCCCGGGCCGGGCGCTGTGAGGCTGTGTGGGGAGGCCCCGGGCCGGGGCGCTGTGAGGCTGTGTGGGGAGGCCCCGGGCCGGGCGCTGTGAGGCTGTGTGGGGAGGCCCCGGGCCGGGCGCTGTGAGGCTGTGTGGGGAGGCCCCGGGCCGGGCGCTGTGAGGCTGTGTGGGGAGGCCCCGGGCCGGGGGCTGTGTGGGGAGGCCCCGGGACGGGCGCGAGCTGCGCGCGGGAAGCGGCGCTGTCTCCTTACCAACCGTCAGTCGAACCCTGTCCCCGCCTCCCATTGGCCGGCGCAGCTCCGCCTCCGCCTCCCATTGGCCGGCATAGCTCCGCCCCTTCTTCCCATTGGCCGGTGCAGCTCCGCCCTCGCCTTCCATTGGCCGGAGCAGCTCCGCCCCCGCCTCCCATTGGCCTGTGTGCCTGTCACTGACTCCTCGAAGGCAATGGTCTGAGCCGAGCGTCAGACACTATTCCAACCTCTATTGGTTAATGCACCTGTCCATCACTAGCTGACACCTACTATTGGTCTGGACCTCTGTCCGTCTCTACATCAGGACCCGCCTATCGGGAGGCACCACCCACACCTACCCGTCAGTCACAGCGACAGTCATTGTTAAAGGGACACTCACCCCACAGACAGCACTTTCCCTCCCTTCCTCACAATCGATCGATCAATCAATCAATCAATCAATCACTCACTCACTCACTCACTCACTCACTCACTCACTCGGTCCATCGATCATCAATCAATCAATCACACACATACCAGGGACAGTGTGGGAAAGGAGAGGATAAAACAGAATCATAGAATCATAGAATTGTACAGCACAAAAAGAGGCCATTCGGCCCATCGAGTCTGTGCGGCTCTGTGAAAAGAGCAATGTTATGTCAACCCCACTCCCCGGCCCTTTCCCCGTAACCTGCAAACCCGTCCTCCTCAAATACCCGTCCACCGCGTTTTTAAAAGTTGTTATCGAACCGGCCTCGACCGCCCTTTCAGGCAACGCGTTCCAGATTCAAACAACTCGCTGCGTGACAAAATTGTAGCCAAAGCCTCCGCTATTTGTACCTGAGCCGCCCATAGTACCTGTGGCTGCATCCCGTCCGGACCGGGAGACTTATCTACCTTCAGCCCAGGCAACATTTTCAGTGCTTCTTCCTCTCTGTTTATACTTATCCTCTCCATTTCCTCTGCCCTCTCCTCCGATACTGCGGCATTTGGTGCATCCACTTCTTTTGTGAAGACAGATGCAAAGTACTCATTCAGCACATCAGCCGCGCCCTCTGCCTCCACAATAAGATTTCTGCCTTGGTCCTTAATTGGCCCCACTCTACCTTTGACTAATCTTTTTTTCTTGATATGTTTGTAAAATATTTTAGAATTCTTAAAATCTTTTTGCCCTTCTTATTTCCTTTCTCAGTTCTCTTCTGCACTTCCTATATTCTATTTTGTTGTCTTCTGTATCTTGGGTTTGACATTTGTCATACGCCTCCTTTTTGTTGAGTTTAATGGCTCCCAAAGCCATTAAACTCCCAATCACCATCCCATTGGACACAGCGCCTATAGCCTCCAAATATCCTCAAGACCTTCACAGCGACTTGTTGCCAAGTGCAATGACTGTGGATTTTTTAGACAAACCTGGCAGCCAATTTGGATGCAGCAAGATGCTACAATACTGACCCAGACCTACCCAACCCCCCAATTCTGGCTGGCACACTGCCCAGGTTAGTGGTAAAGTGAATTTTGTAACTGGTTTAAATTAACTAGAACTTCCTCTCACAGCAGTGATCTGTTTACACTGTAAACACTCTAGTTCCTGGAATAATAATTGTGGATTACTTCAACAAAGCTGTGTGTCCACAATCAGAGCTGCCTGACACCAGCTCAGACAATGTCTTAGTCCTCAGGAGAAAGTGGTCAGTGAATACCTGAGTGGTCTGGGAGTGTGGAGGACACTGGGGAGTGTCACTCTGTCGCTAACCCGTGCTATTACTGGCCTGTCAGTGTGGACGCACTGTGTAGAGTAGTGGTGGCCAACTTTTTGGGTCGTCCAACCAAATAAATTTTTCTTGATTGAATATATCTTGATTTATGGTCACACCATAAATATCGCTATTCAGTAGTTACGGGAACCAAAATATTGATTTAACAGAGACTAGTGCAAATGTTGGGTGGGACACTTCTTGACACCTGCACAGGCTACTATTGACACCACTGGTGTAGAGGGAGCTTTATTCACCTTCCACTGGCTCCCTCTCTATAATTAGAATTAGAATTTGAAGGGATTATTACCCCCAGAAAAGCGATCTGCCAATTGACGAACAACCAGATTTCTACTTATTGCTGGATGAACAGAGGCGTAGTAAAGAAACTTGCCCATCATTTCACCCTGCTCGGGAATCAACCCAGGACTTCTCGCTTGCAAGGTGAGTGTTCTAACCACTGAGCTACAGGACTCTCTGGTATCCGACCCTGTCATTGTGAAGCACTCCAAGATGTTATTGTACGTGACATCTTGATGTCTTGTTTGACCGTCAACTGTCCTTTCTACGCCACATCCAACTCCACCACTGTTTCACACTGCAGGCCACTGAAACCTTCATATACGCTTTTAGTACATTGACGCTCAACTATGCAAACTCCATGCTTGTCGATGCTCCCCAACTCCTCCCTCCAGAGGCTGCAGATCATCACAACTCTGCAGCCCGTGTCCTCTTCCGCACCTGGCTCTGTGATCCTATCACCCTGATCTTCACCCAACTCCACTGAGTCCCCATCACCCAGAGGATACAGTTCAAGATCCTGGTCCTCACCTTCAAAGCCCTCCATGGACTTGTTCCACCCTACCTCTGTGACTTCCTAACCTCCTACCATCTTGTTCGCTCCCTCCGCACAGCGGACTCCGGCCTGCTTCATATCCCCCACCTCGCCTTCCTCACCATTGGCAGGTGCCCCCACCCTCTGGAACTGCATCCCGCAGTCCCTCCACCTCACCCCCTCCCTTGCCTCCTTCAAGATCCATCTCAAGATCCTCCTCTTCGACTCTGCTTTCGATCACTCTACTTCCCCCTTCCCACCCGCTGCCCTCCACCCTCCCCGACCCCCGACTCCGATCCGAAACACCGACTGTCCAGCGCCTTGGGTCGTCCTCCCAACATGAAAGGCTTTACACATGTAATTGTGTTGGTAGTGGTGTTGTTGTGAAGGGGCCAAGTATAAGTGCCAGTTGTTGCAGACGAGCCATTAGGTGTGAGCCTTGTCCCGGACTATCAGGGGCTTTGGTGTGGGAGTGAGGCATGAGCTGCGGGAGCGTCTCAGGGCAATGCTCTGTCTGTGTGTTTACGCTCACACTGCGGTGAGTCAATCACATCTCAGGGGGAAACTGAGAGACTTGCACAGTGACCGGGAAATCCCACACAAACTCTACTGCTCAAATCTCCCGACCTTTCAATTTACTTTTGAAGACGATTTCTCTGAACTGTAACCCAAAGCAGGTAAAGCCGGGGGAGGAAGGGGTTGGTGGGGGGGGGGTGAATCCGCGAGGATGTGCTTGTGTATGAGAGGCTGTCTGTGTGATTGAGGGTGAATAGGAAAGTTTGAGAGTTGCGTGTGTGATTTTGTGCATGTGAATAGGAATGTGTGTGTGTGGCAGTGTGTGAGAGTGTATGGCAGTGTATGTGAGTGTGTGTGAGCGTGTGGCAGTGTATGTGAGTGTGCGTGTGAGTGGTGTGGGTGTGTATGGCAGTGTGTGTGAGTGTATGTGAGTGTGTGTGTGCGTGTGAGTGGTGTGGGTGTGTATGGCAGTGTGTGTGAGTGTGTGGCAGTGTGTGTGAATGTATGGCAGTGTGTGTGAGTGTGTGTGAGTGTGCGTGTGAGTGGATGGGTGTGTATGGCAGTGTGTGTGGGTGTGTGGGAGTGTATATGAGTGTATGGCATTGTGTGGGAGTGCTGGAGTGGGTTTGGCAGTCAGCCTATATGCAAATCTCTGGAGTTAGATCAACCTCCTTTAACTTCCTCACTGTTCAGACAACAGACAGGCATCTGGTGAGGAGTTGACTTGACACCCAGCTCAGGTAATTTAGCTCGTAACCAGGGCCAGGCTCCCGGACCTTGGCACTTGGCGGAGTAGAGGGAGTAGAGGGAGGCTGTATCTTGTCTCTGCCTCTCTCGCGTACGTGTTGGATTACCTGTATAGCTCCAGTTAACCTGCCTCTCTCTCTCTCTCACCTTTGCTCTCTTTTACTTGTTTTACACTCTCTTTCTCTCCTTTTCTCTCTCACGCTCTCTCGCTCCCATCCCTTTTCTCTCTCATGCTCTCCCCACCTCTCTCCCTCTAATTCTTTCGCACTCTCTCCCATTCCAATTTCTCAACCTCCTTATTATTATTATTATTATTGCACTCCCTCTTTCATGCTCTATCACTCTCGCTTATGCTCTCGCTCTCACTTTTTCTCACCCTTGCTCTCTCTCTCTTTCACACTCTCTCTCTCTCTCTCTCTCAGGTGTCACGAAGACGTCAGCAATCTCTCTCTGTATGTGGCTGAATTCCAGTTCTCTAATCTAATCTCTACAGAAATATTTTGTTTTGGCCTTCAACCTTGGCTCTTGGTCTACTTCCTGCCCTTCAACCGTTTGACCGTTAGTGTTCCAACCCCACTGTGTCCGTGTGCTTCAAGTGGAGCTCCTGTTTCTCACGCTCATATACAGCTATTTCTCTTTCTCTCTGTGATGCCTATTACTTGCTGACCAATTTAGGAATGTGGGTGTGTGTGTGCGGGTGCGGGGTGGGAGAGGGAAGTGCATGTCCCTACATAGGCAAGGCTTCACTGCACACCTGAATAATAATAATCCTTGCATTTGATATAGCGTCTTATCACGCCTGTGAGACGTCTCAAAGCGCTTGGTGGGCTGAATGGCTTGTTTCCGTTAGACTAATGGGTTGTTTGAGATGTTAGTGGTAATCTATCACCTTTGCCCGGCCGGTGTTGGCGACAGATAAGGTTGCTGCGTGTGGTGTAAGATTATTATTGTAAATGCCCTGTGTTTACTGAGCTCCACTCAGGCTCAGGACAAACCAAGAGATGATGGCGTGCCACCTGCTGGCCAGGCTGTGAGACAGCAGCTCAGTGTGCGCCCCAGCCCCACCCCGCAACCCCTCTCCCGCAGCAACTTGCCCCGGGGCTGGGGCTGGGGCTGACTGGCACGTAACACACAGGCACACACTTGCCCTTCTAGTGATATCCTCAGTGTTACCTCTCTTGCACAGATGGTTGTTGGCCAATGGGTTGTGTGAAGCCTTTACCGGTCCCCGCGCACTCGGCACAGCACACTCTTCACGACGCACTCCTGGTGAAGCCATGAACAGACTCGGCGCCAGATGCGTGGCTCTCTGCTGTCTCCTCCTGGAGCTGTGTCAAGGTGAGAGACTTGGGAGGTCGAGAGAGAAATGGATAGAGGTGGGAAGCTTAACCCACCTCCCCCCCCAGCATGATATAATCCTTGCATTTTTAATATAATCCTTGCATTTAATATAATGCCTTATCAAGTTGTTGATACGTCTCAAAGCACGGAATATACTGTAATGCGTAGTGACTGTGCGTTTTGTGGACTAAAAGTTGCAGCCAATTACGCACAGCAGTGTCCCACAAACAGTCACATTATTATTTCGCGGGAGGGATTATTACCCCCGGAAAACGATCCCCCAATCAACTAACAACCGAGTTCCTACTTACTGCTGGTAAACAGAGCTGTTTTGCGCTCAAAGATTTGCTTGGCCCTCCCTCCCCTATCACTCCGAGAGATCAGTGTGTCAGAGCAAACATGTAAATCCAACAAACATGTAAAGTCTGTGGTTTTTCCTTGTAACTCAATGTGAAACCTGGCACCAGGTGCAAGGAGTGCGGGGAGCTGCTGACTGACTGGATAAACCAGACCTGCCTGAGATGGTAATTCAAATCATGAACAAGACACAAAATACTGCAGATGCTGGAATCTGAAACAAAAACAGAGAGAGCTGGGAAAACTCAGCAGGTCAGGCAGCATCTATGGAGAAAGGAAAGTGAGTCAATGTTTCTGATGAAGGGTCAGAAGACAGTTCTGACGAAGGTTCGTGGACCCAAAAGGTTGACTCACTTTCCTTTCCCCATCGATGCTGCCTGATCTGCTGCGTTTTCCCAGCTCTCTCTGTTTTTATTTGTTATTCAAATCATGATCGTTTGAACGTCATTGAGCGCTGGGGCTGATCACGCAGTCATGGTGACCCCACTCAGCCCCTCACCCCTCAGAGGGCAGCTAAGAGTCCTGTTAATAATAATATAATAATAATCCTTGCATTTGATATAGCGCTTTTCACGTCTTCTAGACGTCCCAAAGCGCTTCATTGAATATACTGTTAAGTGAATTAACTGTATATTTGTGGGCGAACGCCAATTGCGCACAGCAATGTCCCACAAACAGTCATGGATTGAAGTGACTAATTTATTACTGTTTTGTTTTGGAGGGATTATTATTAGGCGTGTGGAGTAAGGAAACTTGCCCAAGGTTTCTTCCTGTTCCCATCATCACACCCTCCACGTAACTCATCAATGCTCATCACACATCCCATCAGTGATGGTGCTCAGCCTCAGTAACTTGTTCTGTTGCTGACCTGGGAGTGTGGACACACAGCGTAGAGGGAGCCTTACTGTGTCTCTAACCCTGACCTGGGAGTGTGGATGCACAGTGTAGAGGGAGCTTTACTGTGTCTCTAACCCTGACCTGGGAGTGTGGATGCACAGTGTAGAGGGTACTAATGATTGATGACACTGTTTGTGGTTGGCAGGTGACAATGATAGACAGCCCCGAAACTTCTTCTGTTACAATGACTACATCAAAGAGATGACGTGTACTTGGGAGGCTCTGCCTGGAGACAACTGCTCAGTGGAGTACAGACTATTGTACAAACAGACCATGGGCATTATCACGTGAGTGGAGGACAATTACACTGATCACGGGCGTGTGGCTTCAAGATTCACACCAAGACTCCTATGTCGTGCTAACAGATACAGCTAGAGAGCGGGGAATGGGGTTAAAGTAGAGAGCTCCAGTGGGGGAGCGAGCACCAGCACAGACATGGTGGGGAGACAGAGAGAGCAGGGAATGGGGTTAGAGTAGAGAGCCCCAGTAGGGGAGCGAGCATCAGGACAGACACGGTGGGGAGAGTGGAGGCCCCATCATTCAATAAACGGAAACAAAATGAATGGTTTAGAGTTTCTTTCCTCTATTTGCAGGATGGGGACTCTCAGACCGTACCAGATCCCCAGCCGCAGCCTCTCTGAAGCTGACCAGTGTGTCTGCCATATTCAGGCGGATTTCGTATCAGCGATGCAATATCAGATAAATGTCACCTACCGGGACCATGTGATTCTGTCCACCAGTGTGGTTCCAGCACAGACCAGTCAGTGCCTCCAACTTCCTCTGATCTTGCTAATTATTGCTAACTGTTGTCAAGCATTAATATTAATAATAATCTATCCACCCTATCTCTGCGACCTTCTAACCCCCTACCAACCCGGCCGCACCCTCCACTCAGCCGGCTCTGGCCTGCTCCACGTCCCCCGACCCACCCACCCCACCATTGATCGGAGATCCTTCAGCCACTCTGTCCTCAACCTATGGAATTTCATCCCCAGTCACTCCGCCTCGCCCCCTCCTTAGCCTCCTTCAAGACCCGCCTCAAAACCGTCCTCTTCGACCATGCCATCGGGGTCACCCCCCTTCCCCTCCCTTGCCCCCCTGACCCCAGCTCGGGTGTGAAATGTTGTACCCTGTCCAGCGCCTTGGGACATCCTCCCAACATGAAAGGCGCTATACAAATGTAATCTTGTTGTTGTTGTTGTTATGTCTGTCTGTGTATGTTTGTGTCTATGTGGGTGTGTGTTTGTGTGTGTCTGTTTGTGTATGTTTGTGACTGTCTGTTTGTGTATGTCTGTGTCTGTCTGTCTGTGCGTGTGTCTTTGTGTCCGTCCGTGTATGTGGCTCTCTGGCTGTTTGTCTCTGTATCTGTGTGTGTGTGTGTGTGTTTAGATCTGTGTCTGTCTGTGTGTCTGCCTGTGTGTGTGTGTGTCTGTCTGCCTGTGTGTGTGTGTCTGTAGGTTTAGGATTTGTGTATTAATAACATTCTGTGTTTGATGCAAATCTCTCAATGGGACGTGTTTTATGTTGTATTTCCAGTTAAGCCTTTGCCCCCATGCAATTTGACAGTGAGCAGCACTCAGGGTAAGATCCAGCACCTGATGTGGGAGGATGATTACACAGAGGACACCTACCTCCACACCTCACTGCAGTATCAGGTGTCTTACAACCGGCTCCAGGGGACCCATGATGTGGTGCGTCTTGTCTCCCCTCCCTCCTCTTCCCCTTTCCACTCCTGGGGCCTGGGGGGTTTAGGGGGTGATGGGCTGGGGGTTTTAGGGGGTGATGGGTTGGGGGGTGTGATAGGTTGGAAGGGGTGATGGGCTGGGTGTTGGGGGGTTGAGGGTGATGGGCTGGCGGGGTTGGGGGTGATAGCCTGGGGCTTGGGGTTTAGATCGGAGCTGTAACATGCGACTCTCTCTGATTGACACAGCTAGTTTACCCGGTGATTGGGAAGCAAGTCTCTCTGCTGGGGTTCCTGGAAGGTGGCTACACGTACACAATCCGAGTGAGGGCGAAACCCAGCAACAATTACAATGGGTTCTGGAGTAACTGGAGCAGCGAGAAACAGTGGACTGAGGGTGAGGAGCCAGTGTGCAGTGATGGGAGCGGGATCGAGGGCGAAGTTATGGGGCTCAAAGTCTCGACTCACAAGCAATAGAGAGGCTGAGTCAGACGTTGAGTCACAGAGAGAGATTTTTTTAAAAGAAAATTCCACTGATGGAAAGTTCCAGATCGCGCGCAGCGTTTCAGCATTCCAGGGGGAGATTGTGAGCCTGGGATTGTCATACACTAATCTCAGCAAGTCAACCGGTTGGGCACCACGCTTCTGGGAAGCGATTTACTGCGGTTGTGTGGATGTGTGTGAGTCAGTGTATGAGTGTCTTAGTGTGTGTGTGTGTGTGTGCGTGTCAGACAGCGTGTGAGTGTGTGTGAGTCCAGCGCCGTGGGCTCACGGCTGTGTTTAGCAGGGGCTTGGGGCTGTGTTTGCTGAAAGAAGTCTCTTGTCAAAAAGTTTGCATCTGGTCTGATGATAATTATAACATCTGCCCGAGAGCTGTTACTGCCATAGTAGAGAACAATAGCAGAGCAATAGGAGATGACACTCGATGCAAAGTGGGATTAGTGGGATTGGAGTCCTGTAGCTCAGTGGTTAGAACACTCGCCTCGCAAGCGAGAGACCTAGGTTTAATTCCAGAGTAGGGCGAAACGTTGGGCAAGTCTCCTTAGTCCACACACACGCCTCTGATTACCTAGCAGTAAGTAACAAGTAGAAACACAGTTGTTAGTTGATTGGCAGATCGCTTTCCAGGGGATAATAACCCCTTCAAATTTTTTTAAAAATATAAGAATTTGGTCACTCAATCCACCACTGTTTGTGGGACGCTGCTGTGCGCAATTAACTGCTGTCTTTTGTCCACAAAATATACAGTCAATTCACTTTACAATATTTTGAGACGTCTAGAAGACATGATAAGGCGCTATATCAAATGCAAGGATTATTACATAAGAACTTGCCAGTCGAAAGAAAACTAAGGTCCATCTACAATACAATACAAAAGTACATTAGTACAGCGCCTTTCACGTTGAGAGGACATCCCAAGGTGCTGTATAGTCAGGAATTTGGACCTGAGCAGGGGGTGGGATTGGGGTAAGGGAGGGCAGGGAAGGCAAGAGGATGGCCTAAGGTATGATCGAAGAGGAGGGTTTGAGCAAAGAGAGTGGACATCCTGGCCGTCACTTGACATGTTGTGTCCCAAACTATATATTATATCCTGAGATATTATTTTCTAGCAGAAATTATATCTAATTTGTTCTTGAAACGAACAACATTTTCTGCTTCCACCGTCTGTCTCCCGAGGGATCCTGTTCCATCCGTTTACTACTCACTTACTGAAGTAGTGTTTCCGCAGATTTCATCTGAATTTACCCCCTTCAATCGCAGGCCGTGTCCTCTGGTTCCACTGTTCAGTACAAGATAAACAGCTTCTCAAGGTCTACATCATCTATTCCCTTCAGAATCTTAAAGACTGTAATCATATCATCCTCCACCTTCTCTCCTCCAGTGTGAACATGTTCAGTTTATCTAATCGCACCTCATAGTCCAGTCCCTCCATCCCCTCAATCATGTTGGTTGCCGTCCTCTGTATCCTCTCAATCACTACAATATCCTTTTTATGTTGCGGTGACCAGAACTGTGCACAGTATTCACAGTGCGGTCACACCAGTGCTGTATAAAGTGATTATTATTATTATTATTATTGTTCCTCCTCACAGGGAACAGTGAGTTTACTGTCATAATATTCCAATGAGCTCAGGGCCAGGGGGAGAGAGGTTACAGGGAGCATAAGGTCCCAGAGTGTTCTGAGATGCAACCCTGCGTGAGGGGCGATATCTGAATGCCAGTGATTATGGTGGTGGTTGTTGTTGAAGTCTGACAGGCTGAGTCTGGGTGTGGCTGGGACCTGACAGACTGGGACTATATAGAACAGGCTAAACCACATGGTGTTGGCTGCCGCTGGGTGTCCCAGTGCCTGTGGTGCTGCCCTGACAAACATGAATGATTTCTCTGAATATTTAATGTTTTTCTCCCCAGGTTCCCCTGAGCACAACCTGGACTCCATCATCGTTCCCATCTGCCTTGGTGTTGTTGTCCTGATTATAATGTGCCATTATTTCATCAGATGGTTGGTTTTACATTACAATTGTGCATCTTCCATCTATCCCCACCCCATGCAACCCCCCCCCTCCCACCCGAGGCCCACATGATAATAATAATAATAATCCTTGCATTTGATAAAGCACCTTGTCACATCGTTGAGACATCTCAAAGTGTTTCACAGAATGGACTGTAAAGGGTAGTGACTGTGGTATATTGTGGGCGAAACACAGCAGCCAAATGTGCACAGCAGCGTCCCCACAAACCGTCGTGGATTGAGTGACCACATTTTTATTTATTTTTTGGGTTTGGAGGGATTATTCCCAAAGTAATAATCACTCCGTTAAAAAGTGTTCCTACTCACTGCTGGATAAACAGTAGCATGTCGGAATAAGGAAACTTGCCTAAGGTTTCGCCCTCCCAGGCGAGCGCTGTAACCACAACAGGACTCCCATGTGCAGACTACAGAGCCCACTCCAGCAGGTGTGGAGCATTGAGTGGGGGTCACAATGGAGGGGCCGAGGGGAAGGGAAGCCATCTCTAGGCTAACTTATTCATTTCTGTCCTCAGGGTAAAGAGGGGAATCTGGGACAAGATTCCTGCCCCCAAACTCTCCACACCATTCACCAGGTTCCAGGTGAGTTATAGACAAACTCTCTCACACTCACTCACATACTCACTCACACCCGTTCATTCACTCACACTCACGCTCACTCACTTACACACTCACACTCTCACTCACACGTTCTCACACTGTCTCACACTCACACCTACACGCTCTCACAGACACACTCGCACTCTCACAGACACACTCATAGACACACTCACAGACATACACACACTCTCACACACAGATAGACAGACAGACAGACAGACAGACAGACAGACAGACAAAGATAGAGAGTGAATGAGGTAGAGAGACACAGACTGACAGACGCTCAAAGCGAGAGAGAGAGAGAGAGAGAGCTAGAGAGAGGCACAACAACAACTGTTATATAGTGCCCCTCATTCAGGGTAGCGTCCCAGAACACACAAAGGGAGAGAGAAAGAAAACTAGAGAGAGAGGGACGGAGAGGAGGAAGAGGGAGAGAATTGTGGAAAGATATTGGGGAGTATTTCCTGTTTGCTCTGTGGCTTGTACTGTCCTCTGGCGTGCGCTGCTCGGACACTAACCGCGGTCTCTCTCTGTAGCAGGAATATTTCTTTGATGAGAAACAGCTGGAGAACTGCATAGTCGACAAGCTGGTGTGCTCAGGACCGAGTCGTGATACTCTGTGGTGAGTGTACGAGGTGGAGTGTGCGAGGGGGAGTGTGTAAGTGTGCGAGGGGGAGTCGAGTGTGCGAGAGGTGAGTGTGAGGTGCTATTTAATAATGAAATACTGCGCCTGTTCTTGTTTCAGGGAGAGCCGCCCGGATTCCTGCCCCAGCTTTCCCGCATTCCCAGCCCCCAGCCTCCAGCTGCTCCTCCCGTTCCGCCATGACCTGAGGCTCGGTGCCCAGATCCCGGCACCGCTCTTCCCGCTCTTCCCGACTATTTGGCCTGGCCTGCCACCCGGCGGCCCGCGGGCCAGAGACCAGCTTGGGGGCCGGGGGGCAGGGGAGGGGTATTCCCTGTTCAACAGCCTGGTGAAGCCGGAGCCGGAGGGCGAGGGGATGGTGACCGAGGACAGGGATTCTCCACTCACGCTGCCGTCCTATTCCCTGGCGACCATGGGGCTCCCCGGCTCCGAGTACAAGACCTTCAGCTGCGGGGTGAATGCCAGCCTCCCGCAGGTGGGTGGGGAAGGCCACGCCGAGACGGGGTGGAGGAAAGCCTCGGACTACATGCCCTGCGACCAGCTTGCGGCGAAGCCAGGGAGAGCCGCCGTGGGGACTGAGGAGCCCCGGGGTCCTCCGGAGCCATCGTGGCCTCGGGGCCCCGGGCCCCTCTTCCCCCTACCCCCCGCAGCCCAGAGTGGGTGGCCGGAAGCCGGAGCCAAGCCTGGGGCCGGGGTTGGCACAGGCCCCGGCCAGAGCGGGTGGTGGGCGGGTGTCTCGGGCCTGGAGTCGGTGCCGCTGGACAGCAAGCGGGAGGGAAAGTACCTGGACCTTGGGTTCAAGGGCAAATGTCACCCCAGGACCCCCGAGGGCGAAGCCACCCCCTACATGAAGCTGTCCCTGGTTGGCAACGAGCAGAGTCCCTCCAGCATGAAGCTACACCCTGCAGCGCCTCAGGACCCGTCCTCGTATAGGCTAACCCTGTGCTAGATCACGCTGCCCTGACCAGCCACTGCTCCCCTGGGAACTGTCTTCTTTCTCCCCCCCCCTCCACCGTAGTGCCCTCGCCTCCAAACCAGAGGGCGCGGGTTCAGAGGCGAAATCCCACCTTTTTGATGGTGTTTACGGTCACCTCCTCCCACCCTCTCCCCGCGGCTCGCTGTCAGACTCCGCCACTGTCAAGCTATGGGGCGTTGCCACACGTGAAGGGCGCTGTATAAATGCAAGTTGTTGTTGTTGGGCAAGTTTCCTTACTCCACACACACACACACACACACGCACACACACACGCCTCTGTTTACCGGCAGTCAGTAGGAACCCGGTTGTTAGTCGATTGGTGGATCACTTTTCCAGGGGGTTAATAATCCCTTCAAAACAAAAAAAATCTGGTCACTCAATCCACGACCGTTTGTGGGGACGTCGCTGTGCGCAATTGGCTGCCATGCTTCGCTCACAAGATATACAGTCACTACACTTTATTGTATATTCTTTGAAGCACTTTGAGACGTCTCAATGACATGATAAAGAGAGATATCAAATGCAAGGATTATTATCCTCATGTTTAAGATACACTTTTGGTCACACTCCCACCCCCGCCCTCCACCCCTCCTGATCCTAAACCCCAGCTTGGGTCCAAACCCTTGACTGTCTTGGTGCTGTATAAATGTCAGTTGTTGTTGATTTGTTGTTTCTGCACCGTTTCAGGGCAAACATTAAAGATAGTGTGAGGTTCCGCCCTCCCACTCGCCCGCCACCCCCGAATAACTGCTTCTCACCTCACGCTTGTGGTCATGGGACCTTGCTGGGGGTAAAATGGCCACCGTGCTTGCCCACAATTGCACAGTCACTACACATAACCACGATCCCCTGTGAAGCTAGGAGCAGTTTGAACGCTGTAGACTGTATGGACTGTACGGTTTGTTGTTATTATGTGTATATAAATGCTGTGTTTGATTTTGATGCCACCTCAACCCTAGAGACGTCTTGAAGCAGATAACAGCCCCCACCCACCCCATCCGATTCCTGTGTCAAACACCAGGGATTAGTGCTGTCTGAGCCTTCAGATATCAACAATGTGAACTCCACAGTCCAGGCTGAGTTCCAGTGCAGTGCTGGGGGAATGCTGCATTGTAGGAGACGCCGTCCTTCAGTCGAGACATTAAACCAAGGTCCCCATCTGCATGTGTTCAGATGGATGTTAAAACATCCGGCGTGTTATTAAAAAAGAGAAGCGAGTTTCTCTCTCTCTCTCCCCCCCCCTCCCACCCTCCCGGTGTCCGAGCCAACAGGTACGATTGGTCACTCACTTCACGGCAGTTTGTGGGACGTTGCTGTGCCCAAACTGGCTGCCATGTTCGCCTGCAACATACACAGTCACTGCACTTTACAGTGAATCCAGTGAAGCGCTTTGAGACGTTCTCCTAACATAAATATCAATTGTAAAGACTTATTATTATTATTAAAGAAGCCACTGATTTTGATTTGAAATGTTCATTTCCTGGTTATAAACCGCGCCAGTGGCAGGGCCCAGGGAGCGAGCAGCCCAGGAGGCCAACCCACACCATTGGTCACATCGCGCTCTCAGCCTCACTCACCCCATCCTCAATAGTGGAGGATGAGAATGAATCTTCATTGGAAACTTGCGATCGAGCGCCCCCCACAGTGACAGTCTCTGGTCCCGGTTACTGAGCCAGGAGGGTCTCCAGGGCACTCGCTGCTGATGACAGCACAGCCCAGCCTGGGAATCCTCCCCCTCAGCTCCTGTTAACCCCGCAGCCAAAGCCCTAACTAACAGGGAGGGTGGTCCTCGCTGGACAAGCAGCAAGAAAGCATGGCCAGACAGCAATATCAATGGCAAGCTGTGGGTTTAGCTGATTAGTAGTTACTCCAGCGCACGCTCTGAGGTCACCCAGCCTTGGCTCTTGCCAACCTGCACCTGATGCAGTAAGCAGGGAGAGAGAATTGCACATTCAATTCCAGACACTGGGGATTTCCATATGTAGTTGGCAGTTGGCTGCTGCATTTGCCCACAGAATACAGAGTCACTTTATAGTATCTCCCGTGAAGCACTTTTGAGAGACGTCTCAGTGATGTGATTGGGCGCTGTATCAAATGCAAGGATTATTATAATTATTTTAAAAAGAATTGTGAGTGCAATGATTTACTCTGCCACAAGGAGGGGCCCAACACTCATTCCTTATGGTAAACAGTTTACCAGGTGTATAACCTGACCCACACACGTAGTTTGGTCATTTTCAACCAATTTCCTCCAGTTCCATGATTGCCGTTTAGGTCACGTTTCCTAGAAACTTTCACCTGCATCCACTCAGCTCCATCGTCGATGTTTCGATCCAGACAAGGCCCAGGTTAGGCCCGACACCAAGCCCACCCTGATGAGTGGAGTCAATTTTTGGCCAGCGAACAATCCTTCAGATAAGGTTGCTCCGAGACCCTGCCCTTAATCCAGGACACTATCCTTGCAGGTTCTTGTCGTTCCTGTTGTTGTTGCTTGTCTCCTGTCAGATGCTCCTGATCTCCGCGAGGTTCAGTCCACCTCGCGGACCCACTACAGGACCTTGACTTCCAACAACAACAACAAATGACATTGACACAGCACCTTTCACATCGGGAGGACGTCCCAAGGCGATGGACAGTCAGGGATTTGGACCTGGGCAAAGGGCAGGGATTTGGAGGCGTGTAGAGCAGAGAGTTTAGGGGTAAGAGGATGGCCGAAGGCGCGATGGAAGAGGAGAGTCGTGAGACGTGCCTTCAAGGAGGCAAGGGAGTGGGCGAGGCAAAGGGAGTGTGCGATGGAGTTCCAAAGGGTCATTTCAATCCACGACTGTTTGTGGGACATTCACTGCTGTCAGCAATTGGCTGCCGTGTATCGCCCACAAAATATACAGTCAATTCACTTTACAGTCTATTCTGTGAAACGCTTTGAGACGTCGCGACGACGTTATAAAGATATTAAATGCAAGGATTATTATTATTATCCTTGGTTTCATCATGTTTAGGTTTGACATCATGTTTAGGTTAACTTCCTGCTTGCCAGACTTCCCAACGTCCCCTCCACAAGCTGCAGATTATTCAGAAATCTGCAGCTCATGTCCTCTCCCACACTAAGCGCCATGAGTTGATCAGCCCCATCCTCGCCCAGCACTTTTAAAGCCCTCCACAGTCTTGCTCCTCCCTATCTCTGTGATTTATCAACTAAAATGTTATCAACCTGTCCGCTCCATCGGCCTTCAGTCTCTCTGCCCCCTCCCTCTGGAACTCTGGAGTCCTGTAGCTCAGTGGTTAGAGCACTTGCCTTGCAAGCGAGACACCTGCATTCAATTCCAGGCAGAGGGCGAAACCTTCGGCAAGTTTCCTTACTCCACACAGAGCCTAATAATAATCCCTCCAAAAACAAAACAATAATAAATTGGTCATTTTCAATCCACGACTGTTCGTAGGACACTGCTGTGCGCAATTGGCTGCCGCGTTTCGCCCACAAATATACATAACATGTAGGAGCAGGAGTAGGCCATTCGGCCCTTCAAGCCTGCCCCACGGTCAATTCACTTTACAGTTTATTCTGTGAAGCGCTTTGAGACGTCGAGAAGATGTGAAAAGCGCTATATCAAATGCAAGGATTATTATTATTATAACCCAGAGCCCGTCCACCTCATCCCCTACCTTGCCTCCGGCAAGACGGGTCTCAAGACCTTTCTCTTTGACCGCGCCTTCAGTCATCCAACCACACCCCCGCCTCTATGGAAACATAGGAACAGGAGGAGGCCATTCAGTCCCTCAAGCCCGTTCTGCCATTCTATAAGATCATGGCTGATCTGTAACTCAACCCGCCCTTGCCCCATCTCCCTTGATATCCTGACCTAACTCCCTCTTACTCTTCACCCCTACTGATTCCAACCCTCAGCTTGGGTGCAAACCCTTCACTATCCAGTCCCTTGGGACATCCTTCCTCCCGAAGTGAAAGCTATGTAAATGCAATTTGTTGTTGTTGTTTGACTTGAGGGACCAGCTGCGCACATTGACTTGCGACCACAAATAGAGTTTTATTTTTAACACTAATGTTTCCGGGGACTTTTTGAAGAGAGAAGCGCACTTGTTCGCAGTTACAGTCACCACATTACACCAGGTGTTCCTGTGAAGGCATTTTGACCTATTTACTCTGCTCTTTCCCCCCCACTATCCTTTCCCAACCAGCTACTCACCGAGACACAACAGGAACTTGACTTCCAACAACAACAACAACAAATGACATTGACACAGCACCTTTCACACACAAGCCATGCAGCACTAGATGGGAGGGAACTGTTCCTTTAGCCGTTGTGAACTATACACACACAAGCCGGAGCAAGAGCAGGAGAGTGCGTAGGTGTGTCAGGGGGTGGTTGTGACTCAGTCTCACCATCTGACTCAAAGTGAGCACCAGCCCCCGTTCCACAAAGACTACTTTCTGTTTATCACTCCAATACTTCTGCTACAAGAGTGACTGAGCTCTTCAGAGAGAGACGGCAGAGGAAAATCAGTGAAGACGCAGTCAGTGACCAGCCAGTGGGGCCGGTGAAGTCAGCATCTGGGAGATAGGTGGGGGGCGCGTGGGGGAGGGGCAATGGGCAGCATCTAACCAGCCTAACCCCCTCATCTCTTACTGCAGATTCACATTAATGATCAGGATCGGCAACCTCCGTGTACGGTCCTCACAGCTCCAGGTGACACCGAGTTGGGGGGAAATCAGAGGAGGCAGCAAAGGTCTTAGACAGAGAACTTGAGAAAGTGTGTATGTGGGCTGAGAAGTGGCAAATGGAGTTTAGTACTGATTAAATACAAGGCATTACATATAGGATCCAATAAAAGGAGACACAGGTACTTCATGGATGAGCTTGAACTTGCCAAAGGGGGAGCTGAGAGAGATCCAGGAGTTTTAGTTGAATTGTCGCTCACGATGTTACACAGCATGACAATAAACCAGGAAAACTGGTTTATATTAATAAATCAGTTGATTTCAGATCCCCAGACATCACCCTGAGGCTGTACAGGGTCCGGTCAGGCCACACACAGAATAACTGCACACAGCTCTGGTCACTGTGACATCAGGGTCTGCCCAGGGCACGAGACAGTGCAGAGGAGAGCAATGTGGCTGATCCCCAGTGTTGGGGAACGAGCTGTGAGCAGCAATTAGACAAACTCAGGCTCTTCAGTCTTGAGAGAAGCCGACTCAGAGAAGACCTTATGGAGGTGATAAAATGCCAAATTGTGTGTTCAAATCCCTTCACTCCCTGGCACCTCCCTACCTCCCTGACCCACTGGCAAACTCTGGAACGCTCTCACCTCAATCCCTCCGCCTTGCCCCCTCTCTCCCCCTTTTCAAGTACCGCCTGAAAACCTTCCTCTTCAACCGTGCTTACGGTCACCTCCCCCCCCACCCATGCTCGAAGTCAGGCTCCGCCACTGTTAAGCGCGCTGAGATGCTGCATTGCATGGAGGGCGATATATAAGTGCAAATTGTTGTTGTTGTAAATGCAATTAAAGTAAACCCAGATCAACACTTGGAGATGTATCAATAATAATAATAATCCTTGCATTTGATGCAGCGCCTTATCACGTCTTTGAGACGTCTCAAAGCGCTTCACAGAATATACTGTAAAGTGTAATGACTGTGTATTTTGTGGGCAGAGTGTGGCAGCCAGTTTCACACAGCAGCGTCTCACAAACAGCCATGAAAGAAATGACCAATTTTATTTGGAGGATTGTCAGGATCTTTTCCACGGGATCCGCGAGATCTTGTGGAGTCCTGTAGCTCAGTGGTTAGAGCGCTCGATTTGCAAGCGAGAGACCTGGGTTCAATTCCCGGCAGGGTGAAACTTTGGGCAAGTTTCCTTACTCTACACGCCTAATAATAATCCCTCAAGAGAAAAAACAATAATAAATTAGTCACTTCAATCCACGACTGTTTGTGGGACATTGCTGTGCACAATTGGCTGCCGCATTTCGCCCACAAATATACAGTCAATTCATTTTACAGTATATTCTGTGAAGCGCTTTGAGATGTCTAGAAGACATGAAAAGCACTATATTAAATGCAAGGATTATTATTATTATTACCTTTGACATCCACCTAAACAGGCAGACGGCACCTTAGTTAAAGCTTTTTTGGTCAGTGGATTTCTGTCTAACACTCGCAAAAACTCATCACTGTGCTTGAGAGTCTCCAAATCAGACAGTCTGATGTATTTTGTGGACGTATCATCAGAGGAGAACAAGAAAACACAGGTTTAGAGAACAAAGTATATTTTTTTAAATGAATATTATTATTAAAAGCTGGAGGTGGCCAGATTCTCTGTTGTGACAGTGAGCAGAACTCACTGGGTGTGAGGTGGTAGAAAGAGGATATGGCCTGAGCAGGAGTCTGAGCTCTGACCACAAGCAGAAGCTAACCTGAAATGTCACAAACAAACATCCCTCTTTCTCCACTCTCTGTTCACCATTACAACCTCCTGGTCTCTCCTCAACACCTCCGCACACCCACCCTTACCCACTGCTCCCTGTCAATCACACCTAGGGGGAAGCCGGGGGCACGTGCAAAGAACAACCCCTGTGGTGGGGTTGCGGGGTTGGTGGGGGGAAGCGGTGAGTTTTACATACGTGTAGTGGGGTTATGGGATGTGAATATAGGAAGTTTGTTGCGAGGTGCAGTGCAGGTGATGATTGGCATTGTCAGACTCACCACAATCAATCTCAGCCTCTGTTCAGGCTTCCACTGCACCACACGGACAGTGTAGAGGGAACTTTACTGTGTCTCTAACCCTGACCTGGGAGTGTGGACACACAGTGTAGAGGGAGCTTTACGTGTCTGTAACCCTGACCTGGGAGTGTGGACGCACAGTGTAGAGGGAGCTTTACTGTGTCTGTAACCTTGACCTGGGAGTGTTGACGCGCAATATAGAGGAAGCCTTACTCTGTCTCTAACCTTTGCTGGTGCTGACACGGACAGTGAGTTGATACAGAGACGGTATCTTGACACATTGCTGAAACATCAAAACGGTTCAAAGTGTTCGACAGGAAATTGTGTTGGATGTAATGACTGTGTACTCTGTAGGGGTTAGTGTTACTGTAGTCTCTCTGTGCAGGTCTGACAATGTGGGTCTTGAACCCACAATCTCTGCCTCAGAAGCGAGATTGCTACCCACCGAGCTGCACTGACACTCAGTGTAGATTCTGGGCTTGCTGGACCCTGACAAATCAGTGGAACCTCCCAAGGCTGGACGCTGGTCAGAGTGTCCATCCTTCGCATTCCCCCATTCCCACTCCACCATCGTAGTCATCCTGATTCCATCCCGGCCATCTCTGCCTCCCATCCCCAACCCCGAGTCTGTAAGTGATGCTGTTTCCTGACTGTAACCCTTTGAGTGTTTCTGAGAACATTTCCTCCTGGGGAGGAGGGGGGTTTCCGGGGAGTTTTATTTGATGTATAAAGATTATGTGTGGAGATGAGGCAGCTGAACAAAGCTGCAAGACTTGCAGATACAACGTTGAGCAGTTTCTGCACCAGTTACTCTCTACCGGGGGGGAGGGGGGGTAAGGGGGTGGATGGCTTATAATAATAATCCCTGCATTTGAAATAGCGCCTTATCATGTCTTCCAGATGTCACAAAGAGCTTCACAGAATATACTGTAATGTGAAGTGACTGTATGTTTTGTGGGCGAAACAAGGCCAGCAATTACGCACAGCAGAGTCCCGCAAACAGTTGTGGATTGAGTGATTAATTTTTTTTTAAAAATGTAAGGGATTATTACACCCAGAAAAGCAATCCACCAATCGACTAAGAACCAGGTTCCTACTGACTGCTGGTAAACAGAGGTGTGTGGAGTAAGGAAACTATCTCAGTGTTTCACCCTGTCCGGGAATCGAACCCCGGTCCTCTCAATTGCGAGGCAAGTGCTCTAAACACTGAGCTACAGGACCAGACTAGACTCCTGTGTTACACTGAAACTGGAATCCCAACTTCCCCACCGCTCGCTCGCTCACTCACTCACTCACTCTCACACACTCACTCACTCACTCACCGACACACATTGAGGGGTAGGGGCTTGCTTCTCTGTGACCCTCCCCCATGCTGCTCTCAGCCTCACGGAGTCACGGGGCTTGTGTGGAGTTTGGGGGCATTCGAGACGCCTCAGATTGAACATTTTTATGACTTTAGAAACCACATCCTGACCTTTGTGAGGCCAATGAGTGTTGGTGACGTCAGTGATCGGCAGGGCTCAGTGTTCCACATGCAGCTCACAGTCACAGCGGGTCTGACAGACGGGCTCGCGCTCTCGGCTTTGCTTTACTTGAGTTCCCTTCCGTCTCCTGTCTGTCCTGCGCCTGGCTCGGGGGCAGGACATGGCCAGTGCCCCTGGCTGGGGCCGGGCTCCGTGCTCTCTCACACACATTTGGATTTAAGCGAGAAGCTGCCCTCCTCTCTCGGTTATTCCCTCAAACACGAGTGTCCAGGGACTGGTAAGTGGGGCCGAGCTCTCAGTGATGGGCTGGAGAGGAGGTCTGAATGTTACCCACACTCACACACACACAGTGTTTTACATACACACACACAGCATAGTGTTACTCACACACACACAGCATAGTGTTACACACACACACAGACACACAGTGCAGTGTTACATGCACACACAGCACAGTGTTACACACACACACACAGCAGTGTTACACACATAGTGTTACACACACATACAGCGCAGTGTTACATACACACACACAGCACAGTGTTACACACACACACAGCAGTGTTACATACACACAGCACAGTGTTACACACACACACACACAGCAGTGTTACACACACACAGCACAGTGTTACACACACACACACAGCAGTGTTACATACACACAGCACAGTGTTTTACACACACAGCAGTGTTACACACACACACAGCAGTGTTACACACACACAGCACAGTGTTACACATACACACAGCAGTGTTATACACAAACACACAGCTCAGTGTTAGACACACAGCATAGGCCGTTATCCTCTATAACACACATACACATACACAGGCTGCTATTTGCTATAATACAGATTTCCTGTTTGATGTTGCTGATTAATCAGAAGCTGTGATCATCTTATTAAATAATTCCTTCAAAATAATAATAATAATAAATTGGTTGTTCAATCCACGACTGGTTGTGGGACACTGACATGCACAATTGGCTGTCGTGTTTCGCCCACAAAATATACAGTCAATTCACCTTGACAGTGTATTCTGTGAAGCGCTTTGAGACGTCTCGAAGACGTGATAAGGCGCTTTATCAAATACAAAGATTATTATTTTTATTTATTATAAATTGTTTACCGCAGGCTGGTCACACAATGCAGCTCAGTCTGCCACTGACCATCACTCTCACTCTGATAATGCTGCTCTGTGGTCACGCACACACAGGTAAGCCTGACTGAACGTCTGGGTGGGGGGGAACGTGTTAGCCGTAAAACCCTCCCCGACACCAGAGCCCCTGGAGGTGATGGATTCCCCTGAGACGAAAATGGAGGGGTTCCGTTCTGCTACCTCTACCCTCCCACTCCCTAACCTTTCCCTCCCCACCCAGTTTTGCTCTTTCCACTCCCGCTGCTCCCTGTATGAACTTCTCCAATCTGGTTTCCGTGCTGACCCCACAGCACAGAGACAACCTTGGTCAAAGTTACAGATGATATTCCGTCCATCTATGACCAGGGCCTCTCTCGCTCTCTCTCTCTCTCTCTCTCTGTCTTCTCATCTTTCTCGATCTCTCTACCTCTGCAACCTACTAAAACCATACCAACCTGTCCCCTCCCACCGCTCAGCAGGCACTGGGCTGCCCCACACCTTCCCGCCATGCCCGTTCCACTATTGGCGGTCTTCAGCCTCTCTGCCCCCACCCTCTGGAACTCCATCCCACTCACCCCCTCTCTCACCTCCTTCAAGACCTTTCTGTTTGACCGTGCCTTTGGTCACCCTCCTACCCCTTACCCTCTCCTCCTTCCACCTCCTCCCTCCTGATCCCAACCCCCAGCTCAGGTGCAAAACCCCGTCTAGCGCCTTGGGATGTCCTCCCGACGTGAAAGACACCATGTAAATGTCATTTTGCTGTTGTTGTTGGATTTGATTCCAGCCTGTAACTCACTCCCGGCGGGAGGGGGAGGGGGTGGGCGCGCTATATATTTTTTGTGGCGAGGGGGGGAGGGGGTGCAGTAAAGGAGGGAGCCACATAAAGAATTTCTTTTCAAATAAATCAAGTTGTAAGTTCCTGACAGTTTGTGTATGTCTCACTCTTGCTCTCGTTCTCTCTCTCTCTTTCTCTCAGCTATCAGCTGTGACAGCCTCGTCTGTGTGACTGATTACATCAACAATATCACTTGTACCTGGAGGCCTGGAACCAGCCTGGACCCCGAGACCACCGTCACGCTCAGCGCCACCTCGTAAGTCTCACCCCAACTCCACTGTCTCCCCTTCCCCTCGTCTCCTCATTGTAGCTCAGTGGTTAGAGTACTCATCTCACAAGCGAGAGACCTGGGTTCGGTTCCCAGTCAGGGCAAAACGTTAGACAAGTGTCCTTGCCTCACACCCCTTTGTTTACCAGCAGTAAGTAGGACCCCGGTTGTTAGTCAATTGGTGGATCACATTCTGGGGGTAATAATTCCTCCAAAAAACAAAAACATTTGGTCACTCAATCACGACTGTTTGTGGGACTTTGCTGTGCACAATTGGCTGCCACAAATCTGATGTGATCAGGCGCTATATAAAACGCAAGGATTATTGTCAGTTTTAGTAGTAACAGCAGTGAGACAGAGGCACAGAGAGAGACAGAGACACGCAGTGACACAGAGAGACACAGAGAGACAGAAACACAGAGAGAGACAGAGAGATAGATGGAGAGACACAGAGAGAGACAGAGAGATAGACGGAGAGACACAGAGAGAGACAGAGATAGAGAGCGTCACACCGATTATCAAGCGAGGGGGGAGGGAATGGGGGAGATAGAGGGGGAGGGAGGGAACGAGAGAGCGAGGGAAGGAAACAGGGGGCGCTCTGTGAATGACGAAATCTCAGCAAGTGAGTCAATTGGACTCCAGTGGAGGTGGGGAATGTTTGCTTGAAGCAGCCACAAGGTGCCAACCACAGTGGAAATGACAGACTTTATCTAAACTTTCACATCAAAACCAAACTCAGTGATGTCAGCCTGAGAGAGCTCGGAGTCTCTATCTCCCCCCCTCTTCCAGCCAGTCACTCCTCCCCCACCCAGCCACTCACTGCACCCCCCCCACCTTGACACTCCGCAATTTCACTGGGTGGAGCTGGGGTGGGGTGAGGGAGACAGAGGAATGGCTGACGCGGGCAGTAGGGGAACGCTCTTTTTGTGGGTGAAACTTTAACCTGTGTCTCTCCTCCCCACCCATTTTCTGCCTCGTCACTAAAGGTATGGCTCAGACCTGCGCTGTGAGCTGTGCTGTGAGCTGTGCTGTGAGATGAGAGAGAGTGAGGAGCCCGGGCTGTACACCTGTACACTCTACCAGGACATCGGCATCACCAGTGACATATACAACCTCACCCTCCAAACCCAGGGGCTCGGCAAACAGCCCACCCCACAGAACTGCACTGAGTTTGACCCAACACAGAACAGTAAGTGTCCCTCAGTGACAGACTGTGAGAGCTCTCTCCCCATCGTGTCTGTGCTGGTGCTCACTCCCCCACTGGAACTCTCTACTTGAACCCCATTCCCTGCTCTCTCTCCCCCCATCTGTTGTCTGTGCTGGTGCTCACTCCCCCACTGGAACTCTCTACTCGAACCCCATTCCCTGCTCTCTCTCCCCCCATCGTGTCTGTGCTGGTGCTCACTCCCCCACTGGAACTCTCTACTCGAACCCCATTCCCTGCTCTCTCTCTCCCCATCGTGTCTGTGCTGGGGCTCACTCCCCCCCCACTGGAACTCTCTACTCAAATCCCATTCCCTACTCTCTCTCTCCCCATCTGTGTGTCTGTGCTGGTGCTCACTCCCCATAAGAGTAACGTATCCTGCTTACCTAATTCCGGAGAGTATTAGGCACAGGTTGATGCGAGCCCAGTCTTGGGGACCCCAGAGTGTGTGTTGGAGTAACTGCTGGAGTCTAACCAGCTAAAACTGCGTTGCTGCCAATGTCCTGCCGAGGAGCCAGGCTGGGCTGGGCTGAGCTGCGCTGCCATCCTGGAATACAGCGGACCAGCCTGGCTCAGGGCCTGGACTAGAGACCATCACATTCCAGTGGCCGGCATGATGCCCTGGAGCCTCAGCTCCGAGGAGACCCTCCTTACCTCCCTGCCTTAGGAGGATAGTCACCCATTTGTCATTTGACATCTGACAAGGGTGGGTTTGAGCCCTCACTGTATGGATGGCAGGTACCAGGAACTCCCTGCAAGCTTCCTGGTGGGTACCGCAGCTCAGCACATGTGGCTCCATGTTCCCCTGGCGTGTTGTCCGTGTTTCCCTGGCGTGTTGTCCCGTGTTCCTGGGGCGTGTTGTCCCGTGTTCCCGGACGCGTTGTTCGGCGTTCCCTTGGCATATTGTCTCGTGTTCCCCTGGCATGTTGTCCTGTGTTCCCGGGGCATGTTGTCTCGTGTTCCCGGGGCATGTTATCCCATGTCTCACACTGATGCTCCGCTTTCCTCACAGTTAAACCTCCGGCCCCGTTTAACCTGTCGGTGTGGGCATCCTCCAACAACAGCTCCTCCAGCCTGTCCTGGGCCATGCTGTATGACGAGTACAGTTACCTGACTGATTTCCTGTACGAACTGCACATCAGCTCCGGAGAGGAGGTGAGCAGGGAAGTGTGTGAGGTGTGGGGGGAGAGGGAAGCGGGGGAGAGGAAGAAGGTGAGGGGGAAGGGCAGCGGGGAAGGGTAGTGCGGGGGAGGAGTAGGAGGGGAGTGTGGGAGGGGGAAAGGTAGAGTGAGTGGGGGGGGGGGGGGGAGGGAGAGTCCGGGGAGGCAGGGCAGGGGAGGGAGGGGTGAGGGGTGTGACATGGCAGTGCTTGTGGGTGACTAGTGATGGATGTTGTATCTCAGGGCGAGAGGCACATAGAGAGCGTACGGACGGTGGTGTCTCTGTCCCACTCACTACTGGTCCCGGGGACGGAGTACGAAGCCCGCGTACGCGCGCACGTACAGGAACTGGGCTACAGCGGCCAGTGGAGTGAGTGGAGCCCGTCGGTGCGCTGGAGGACTGGTGAGTGTCGCTGTGGTTCCAATACAGTGCTGGGGGGAGAGGAGAGGGGGGGACGTTGAGGGCTTCCTTCACATGAGACGTTAAACCGAGGCCCCATCTGCCTGTTCAGGTGGACGTCAAAGGTCCTGCGGTGCTCTTGGCAAAGAGAAGGAAGTTTCTCTCTCTCTCCCGGTGTCCTGGACAACAGTTGCTCAGATGAAATTGGTCACTCGCTCTATGATTCTGACATAATAATCTCTGCATTCGATTATAACGTTTTTTCAAGCGATGTCTCAAAGCTCTTTACTCCATGGCTGTTCGTGGGCTGGTGCTGTGCGCAGTTGTGCTGCTGCGTTTGCCTACAAAACACAGAGTCACTCCACTTTACAGTAAATCCTGCGAAGCGCTTTGAGTCGTCCCTTCTGACGTGATCAGGAGCTATATCAAATGCAGGAGTTGTTATAACAGCTCCCACCCCACCCCCAAGATAAATGACTCGTTCATCTCACGGCTGCGTGGGATGTGATGCAGTCACTACACAAAAGTGGTGTCACAGTGCCACACGGTGGCCGGTTGCAGGGGCTACAGGAGCGGCTCAAACTGTGGGCGTGACTGAGCTGTTTGCGGGGTGGGGGGGGGATCAGGAGGCAGTGGGGCTGCGCAGGATGACTCCCACAGTCTTGACACACGGGGGGCGCGGAGGGGGGGCACGGAGGGGGGCGCGGAGCTCATTTCAACACCAATGATATAAAGCTGAGGTGTTAGCCCTTCCTCCCGGGTCAGAGAGTTTGATCCTGTCCATGTAGGTCCTGTAGTTCAGTGGTCAGAGCTCTCGCCTCGCAAGCGAGAGGCCTCGGGTTTGATTCCCCGGGTCAGGGAGAAACGTTGGGCAAGTTTCCTTACCCCGCGCACACGCCTCTGTTTACCAGCAGTGAGTAGGAACCCGGTTGTTAGCCGATCGGCAGATCGCTTTTCCGGGGGTAATAATCCTTTCAAAAAAAATAATAATTTGGTCACTTCGATTTGTGACTGTTTGTGGCACAGCTCTGTGCGCAATTGGCTGCCGCGTTTCGCTCACAAAGTATACTGTGAAGCGCTTCGAGGTATCTCGAAGGCATATCCGATGCAAGGATTATTATTAAACCCCAAGGTTGACGATCCCGCGACACTGTCGGAAAAAAGAAGGAGTTTTTCTCTCTCTGCTCCTGGCACGGCTGATATTCCTCTGGGTAAATTGGTCACTCACCTGTGAAACACTCAAGTCACTACACTTTACAGTGCATCAATCCCGCGAAGCTCTTCGCGACGTCCTCCCGGGTCAAACATGAGGATTATTATAGTGATGAATTACCGTAACCAGGCGGGGGGCTCAGAGCGAGGACCTGATTATTTGGAAACCAGTGTGGAAAAATTAGGAACTCTCTCCCAAAAGACTGGGGATTGTGGCTGGATCCGTTCACATCGTCCAGACTGAGGTGGAGAGATACTTGTCAGGTCAGGGGTTCAAGGGATACGGGGCAAGGGCGGGTAATTGGAGTTGAGGTACAGATCAGCCATGATCTTATAGAATGGCGGAACAACCTTGAGGGGCCGAATGGCCTCCTAACCCCAACCCTAATCTATGTTCCTAATGACTGTGGATTTGTGTGGTTTACAGCGGACAAGGCTGTGCTGTGGACCTTGTGGCTGCCACTCCTGTTCGGCGTCCTCATCGTGCTCCTCATCGTCATCTTCTTCAGGTTCAGAGTCTTCCAGAGGTGAGGCCCCTCTTCCCAGTGTAACCCCGCCCCCAGTGTAACCCCACCCCCAGTGTAACCCCGCCTCCAGTGTAACCCCGCCCCCAGTGTAAACCCTCCCCCCAGTGTAACCCCGCCCCCAGTGTAACCCCGCCCCCAGTGCGACCCCTCTCCCCCATGTGACCCCTCTTCCAGTGCGACCCCCACCCTCAGTGTGACCCCCACCCCCATTGTGACCCCACCGCCAGTGTGATCCCTCCCCCCCAGAGTGACCCCACCCCCTCTGTGACCCCACCCCCCAGTGTGACCTCTCCCCCCCCAGCGGGACCCCTCCCCTGTGTGACTCCGCCTCTGGTGTGACCTCATTGATCTCTCGTCGCAGGGTGTGGAACAAGCTGTGGATTTTGCCGCCAAACCCCGCCCCCTTCTTCAAGCCGCTGTTCAGGGATCACGGAGGGAATTTCACGGTAAGAAATCACCGTCTCAACATCCCCCCCCCATACCCACAACAACCCCCCACCCCTCTGTCCCCACGGTGACCGTCCCCCCCAGCTCTCGCCTCTCGTGGTGACTGTCTTCCCTGACGTGGGAGCGGTGGGTATGACCAGAGCATGTGCTGCCGCTGCTGTTGGGCTGTGAAGATGGGGTCACAGTGATGATGATGAAAGTGGAGGGGATGGTGATGGTGATGTTGCCCGTTGACTTGTTCAGTACCACGAACGCTGTTGGTGTTGGTGATGGTGATGATGAGCACAGGACAAGCCTTGGTTTTAATGACACATTAAACACACGATGGCACTCGTGACACGACAGCGCTCCCCCAGACCTGCGCTGGAGTAGCCAGCCTGCACTGGGAGCTCAGCGTCCCTGGTCTATCGATCAATCTGATCTGATTTTCTGTTTACACTCAGCCCTCGGCACTGGTTCTGCTTGGCCTGAAGCTCAGCCATAATGTGGTGACAGTTTCGGAGAGTTTCGGACCCGAGCTGGGGGTTGGGGTTCGGAGAGGGTGGGGGTTCAGAGGGGGGAAGCAGGGAGATCGAAAGCACTTTGAAGAAGCGGATCTTGAAGGAAGCAAGGGAGGGACGAGGCGGAGGGACTGCAGGATGGAGTTCCAGCTGGTTGAGGCAGAGTGGCAGAAGTTCCACCCACCAATGGTGAGGCAGGCGAAGTGGGGGACGTGAAGTAGGCCCGCTGAGCGGAGTGGGCAGGATGGTAAGGGGTTAGGAAGTCGCAGAGGTGGGGGGAGCTAGGCTATGGAGTGCTTTGAAGGTGAAGACCAGGATCTTGAACTGTATCCTCTGTGTAATGGGAAGCCAGCGGAGTCGGGCGAGGAGGGGGTAATAGGGTCACGGAGCCTGGTGCGAGAGAGAACACGGGCTGCAGAGTTCTGGATGATCTGCAGCCTATGGAGGGAGGAGTTGGGGAGGCCGACAAGCAATGAGTTTGCATAGTCAAGCCTCAATGTTATGCATGCGTGTATGAGGGTTTTGGCGGCCTGTGGTGTGAGACAGTGGTGGAGCCGAGCAATGTTGTGGAGGTGGGGGAAGGCAGAGTGGGTCATGGCACGGATGTGGCAGAGAAAGGATAGTTGAGGGACAAACAAGATCCCAAGGTTCCGGACTGGCTTAGCAAGATGGAGTGTGCAACCATGGATGGTGATGCTATCAGCACCTGAGGTGAGGAGGCACTGACAGGATCCAATCAGGAGAGCCTCGGTCTTGTTGACGTTCAACTGAAGAAAGTTAGCTCTCATCCAGCACTTGATGTCTGACAGACATTCTGTCAGGACAGCGGTGGTCCTGGAGTCAAGGGTGGAAGCAGAGAGATAAATTTGGGTGTCATCCGCATATATGTGGAAGTTGACCCCATGTCTGCGGATGATGTCACCAAGAGGGAGCATATAGATACTGAAGAGGAGGGGACCAAGCACAAAGCCCTGAGGAAAGTCGCACGAGACGGTGCGGGGACTTGAGGAGAAGCTGTTTGTGGAGAGGAAGTGGAGGTGGTGTGAGAGGTATGATCTGAACCAAACAAGGACGGAACCATGAAGATTGAGGTGAGAGGAGAGGCGGTGGATGACGATAGAGTGGTCAACAGGGTCGAAGGCAGCAGAGAAGACAAAGAGGTAGAAGGAGCCCTGGTTGCAGATGGACAGAGTGTCATTTGTCACTTTTACCAGGGCTGTTCTGTGCTGTAGGCGGCATGGAAACCCGATTGGAGGGGTTCATGAACAAGATAGGTTGCAGGAGGATTTAAACATACTTGGGAATCGGGCAGCCTGGTGGCAAATGAAATTCAATGTGAAGAAATGTAAAGTACTTCACGTGGGGACAACAATTCCTGGAAGGGGCTATTACTTGAACAGAAGGAAAATACCATGTTTAGAAAATGAAAAGGACCTGGGGGTCCTGACTGACAGTAAATTGAATCTCTCGCAACAGTGCTCTGTGGTAGTGAGAAAAGCAAACCAGATGTTGGGATGTATCAAAAGATCAATAGCAGCCGAAAGTGTGGGTAAACCTGCGACTGTATAAATCATTGGTGAAACCTCACTTAGAGGCTGTGTACAGTTCTAGTTGCCGCAGCACAAAAAAGGTAGTGAAGAAATTGAGAAGATACAGAGGTGGGCAACCAGAATGATTGAGGGGCTGGCCTATGAGGAGCGACTAAGTAAATTGGGCTTGTTCATGCTGGAAAATAGGAGATTGAGAAGCGATATGATTGCTGTGTTTTAAGATTCTAAAAGGGCAAAACACTATAGATCATGACAGGCAAACTAGATGGACCTTGTTTTTTTTCTCATCTTGCATTTCTTACATTCGTATGTTCTTAGGTAACTAAACCATCCAGAGCAGCTCACATTCACACATACACACAGGCAAACATACATGTATATTTAGTTATGTGGAAAGACTAGAGAATCTGCGATTATTCTCCTTAGAGCAGAGAAGGTTAAGGGGAGATTTAATAAAAGTCATCCAAATTATGAGGGATTTCGATAGAGTAAATAAGGAGAAACTATTTACACTGGTGGGTGGGTTGGTAACCAGAGGACATAGATAATAATAATAATAATCCTTGCATTTGATATAGCGCTTTTCACGTCGGGAGGACGTCCCAAAGCGCTTCACAGAACACACTGTAAAGTGAATTGACTATTTATTGTGGGCGAACGCGGCAGCCAATTGCGCACAGCAATGTCCCACAAACAGTCGTAGATTGAAAATGACCAATTTATTATTGTTTTTGGTTTTGGAGGGATTATTATTAGGTGTGTGGAGTAAGGAAACTTGTCCAAGGTTTCGCCCTCTGCCTGGAATTGAACTCAGGTCTCTCGCTTGCAAAGATAATTGGTAAAAGAACCAGAGGGGAGCTGAGATGAGAAGTACACACATGTACACACATACATACCCACAAGTACATACAGACACACACATCCCTTGGACGTTCCAAGGTGCTGGACAGTCAGGGATTTGGATCCAAGCTGGGGGTTGAGGACACAAGCTGCAGAGTTCTGGATGATCTGCAGCTTGTGGAGGGAAGAGTTGAGGAGGCTGACAAGCAGGGAGTTGGCATAGTCGAGCCTCGGCGACCTGAGGGGAGAGGCAGTGGCGGAGCCGGGCGATGTTGCGGAGGTGGGGGAAGGCAGAGCGGGTCATGGCATGGATGTCTGATAGAAAGGACAGTTGAGGGTCAAACAAGACACCAAGGTTCCGGACACACGCTCACACACCATGTACACACTATAACCACCAGTCTGGCACGTCACACACCATGTCCACACATACAACTCCCGGGTGCTGCACGCTCACACACTATGTCCACACATACAACCCCCAGGTGCTGCACGCACACACCCATTTTTGGATATAAAGTCAGGAAGTGCACATTTTCTCTCTTCCTGTGTTTGTCTCCTGGTCACAAGCTGTGAAAACGAGAGGCGATAAACCTTACGGCCACAGCCCTTCTCAGTGTAACAATGGGATGGCTCAGTCTTTCACCTCCAAATCAGGAGGTTGTGGGTTCAAGCCCCTTGTCAGTGACTCTGAGCTCACAATCCAGGTTGACGCTTCAATGCAGTACTGCGGGGTGGGTTGGGGGGAGAGAGAGAGAGAGAGAGAGAGATTTTCCATCCTTCGGATGAGACGTTAAACTGAGCTCCCGTCTGTGTTCTGTTCAGTTGGATGATAAAGATCCTGCCACACTGTTTGAGAAGAGGAGGGAGTTTCTCTCTGTCTCTTTCCCAGATAAAATCGGTGACTCGCTTTGTGGCTTTTTGTGGGACGTTACTCTGAGCAAATTGGCTGCCGAGTTCACCTACAAAACACTCAGTCACTACACTTTGCAGTAAACGCTGGGAAACATTTTGTGATGAACTCCTCATGCATTATGGAGCAGGTGACGGGGGAGTGGGGGGGTGCTGAACGGAAGAGATGACCTTAGAAATCTACACAGCTCTTATCTTCATCAACACAAAGCATCTCTGTAAACCATAATATGCAACTCACACACACAACTACACACACACTCACACACACACAACAACAACAAGATTTAATTTATAGAGCGCTTTTCACGTCGGGAGACGTCCCAAGGCGCTGGACAGTTGGGTCAGGACTGAGCAAGGGGGGAAATGGTCAGGGTGAGGGGAGGGAAGGGAGGGAGCGAGGAGGGGGTAGAGAGTCGAAAGGGGAGCTGAAGGCACGGACAAACTCACACACACAACAACTGACACATACACTAACATACATACTCTCACACACACTGATAACACCCGCCACACACTCACATACGCACTCACACACTCACGCACTGACACTCACACACACCAGACACACACAAGAACAACAACATCAAATTACATTTGTCTAGCCTTGCACGTTGGGAGGACGTCTCACACACACACACACTCAGACTGAGACACTGACACACACACAACACACACACAAACTGACACACACACTGAGGCACTGACACACACAACACACTGAGACACTCACACACTGAGACACTGACACACACACATTCAGACTGAGACACTGACACACACACACACCACTCACACACACACTGAGACACTGACACACACACATTCAGACTGAGACACTGACACACGCACACACACCACTCACACACACACACATTGAGACACTGACACACACACACATTGAGACACTGACACACACACACACACACACACTGAGACACTAACACATAGACACACCACTCACAAATTCACAAACCACAGATATAAACAGTAAGATGGCTGACGTGGACACTGGTGGAGCCGTGGCAGGGTTCAGCTCGGTTGCAGAGTGGGAGAGATGATAATCAGGATACAGTGGAGCATCTTTGTGTCACAGTCACCTCCCGCTCACTGCAGCCTGCTATCACCTGCCATCTCTGTGCATATCTGCATCTTTGTACATCTCTTCACATCTTTGTACATCTCTCTGCAAATAAACAGGTCTGTGATCCCTCGCCCCCGCTGCCACTCACCCGTTTGCCCTCTCTGAGGGGGTGGAGAAACAAATCACTAATCCCTCATTCATCGCCGTTGTGGAGTCCTATAGCGTAGTGGTTAGCAAGCTCGCCTCGCAAGTGAGAGGACAACAACAAACTAGACTTGTATAGCGCCCTTCACGTCGGAAAGACACCCCAGGGTGTTGGACAGTCAGGGTTTTTTTGGATCCGAGTTAGGGTCAGGAGGGGAGGAAGACACGGGGTGGTGGGGGGGCGTGGAGGAGGGCAGGGAGTGGGATTGGGAGGGTGGCCGAAAGCACGGTCAAAGAGAGAGGTCTTTAGACGGGACTTGAACGGGGCAAGAGAGGTGATGAGGCAGAGGGATTGCGAGATAGAGTTCCAGAGTGTGGGGGCAGAGATGCTGAATGCCCGACCGCTAATGGTGAGGCGGGAAGTGCGGGGATCTAAAGCAGCCAGTGTTCGCCGAGTAGACAGGAGGTCAGAGAGGTAGGGGGGAGCAAACCCATGGAGGACTTTGAAGGTGAGAAGGAGGGTTTTGTACTCGATTCTCTGAGGTTTGGTGAGCCAGTGAACCGGATAGGAAAGGGGGTGATTGGTTCTCGGAGTCTGGTGCAGAAATTCCTGGATGGGGTGAAACCTTAGGCAAGTTTCCTTTCCCCACATACCACTGTTTACCAGCAATGAGTAGAAACCCGATTGTTAGTCAAAAAAAATTGGTCACTCAATCCACGACTGTTTGTGGGACGTCGCTGTGCTTAATTGGCTGCCGTGTTTTACCAGCAAAATACAGTCACTTCACTTTACAATGTATCCTGGGAAGCGCTTTGAGATGTCTCAACCAGGATTATTATTATTATGAATATTATTGTTGATGATTATGATTGCAATAATGATTGTGTGTGTGTGTTTGTGTGCAGAGTTGGGTGAACGCTCGGTATCCACACACCATGTACGAGGTCAGTGAGAAGAGTCTGATGGTGATGGAGAAAGGTGATGCCGTGCAGGTGTTCGACGCTCAGGCCAAGGATAAGAGGGCGGAGCTGCACTCCTCCTGGCAGGCGCTGGGGGGCCCGATGCCCTGGGGGGTCTCCTACTCCGGGGGCCGCTTCGGGGCCGAGACCCCTCACTGGGGGGAGAGGTCGTACGGGCAGGTGTCCATTGACACGGTGACGGTGGCTGATGAGCCTGCGCCGTGCTGTGTCCAGTGTCAATGTCACTGCAGCTCACAGCGAGCCCCCCGCCCCGCCCACAGCCACAGCCCCACCCACAGCCACAGCCCCTCCCACAGCCACAGCCCCGCCCCTGCCGAGGCCAGGGGGCGGGGCCAGGATTACCCCGCCATCGCACGGTTGCAGAGCCTCCTGTATGGGTCTGGCCAGGCCAACGGCCAGGAGCCTGAACTGACTGCCTCCCTCCTGGTCACTGGCCACAGCCGGCAGCTGCTGAGTGGGCGTGTGTGGGCCGTGGAGGACCAGGGGCCATTGGTGGCGGGTACCGAGGGCGAGATGGGGGCCTGGGATAGTTCGAGGGGAGACAGAGACACCGGCTCCTGGAGCGACCGGAGCCTGGATTCCCTGTCCTACCGCAGCCAGCTCAAGCCTAACCCCGACAACCTGAGTGACCCCGGCTATCCCCGTCACCCCGGCAACCTGAGTGACCCCGGCTATCCCCGTCACCCCGGCAACCTGAGTGACCCCGGCTATCCCCGTCACCCCGGCAACCTGAGTGACCCCGGCTATCCCCGTCACCCCGGCAACCTGAGTGACCCCGGCTATCCCCGTCACCCCGGCAACCTGAGTGACCCCGGCTATCCCCATCACCCCGGCAACCTGAGTGACCCCGGCTATCCCCGTCACCCCGGCAACCTGAGTAACCCCGGCTATCCCCGTCACCCCGGCAACCTGAGTGACCCCGGCTATCCCCGTCACCCCGGCAACCTGAGTGACCCCGGCTATCCCCGTCACCCCGGCAACCTGAGTGACCCCGGCTATCCCCGTCACCCCGGCAACCTGAGTGACCCCGGCTATCCCCGTCACCCCGGCAACCTCAGTGACCTCGGCTATCCCTGTCAACCCAGCAACTTGAGTGACCCCGGCTATCCCCGTTATCCTGGCAACTTGAGTGACCCCGGCTATCCCTGTCATCCCGGCAACCTCAGTGACCCCGGCTATCCCCGTGACCTCGGTGACCTCAGTGACCCCGACTATCCCCGTGACCTCGGTGACCTCAGTGACCCTGGATCTCCACATGATCTTGGTGACCCCGGCTATCCCAAGCTGCTGGACCTGGACACTGTGGACAGTGGGTTTATGGAGATCGACAGTGACTCCACCAGCGAGGCCGAGGGCAGCGGGGAGGGGGGGACCGAGGGTCCCGGGGAGGAAGGTCAGTATTGTCGGAGTTACATGAAGCAATGGGTGACGTCCAATTCAGGCATCACAGGCACTCGCAGCCCCCGATAACCACTCCTCCTCCCCCCACATCAACCTCTGGCCCCTCGTATCAACCTCTAACCCCCACAGGAAGTACAAGACCGAAGGCACAATCGTGAGAGCCTGGGGTCACTGACAGCCAGCAATGGCTTGTGGGCAGTTTGGCTACAGACGAGCTTCGGTATGGTATCTGGCTCCCACCTTCCCGACCGATCTCTCCAACTCACCGACTGTGGCAAACCTCGGTGTCCTTCCTTCCCCCCCCATTGGTCCCTGACCAGGGCCGCTTTCCTCCACCTCCGCCCCAACACCGGTTTCTGGCCCCATCTTACACCAAAAATCAAATCCTTGCTCCACAACTTTGTCACCTCCCACCCTCTCTCCCCACCATCCACAAGGTACAGCTAATACAGTCCTCACCCACACCAAACTCTACCCACCGCTCGCCTCAATCCTCACCAGGCTCCACCGTCTCTCCACATATCAACTTCAAGGTCCCTATCCGCACCTACAAATCCCTTCATGGCCCCAGCACATCCTCCCGCCCCCACTCTCCCCCCTGCTCCCACTCTCCCCCCTGCTCCCACTCCCCCCCGCCCCACTCCCCCCCCTTACCCCCATCTCCCCCTCCACCTCCACTCTCCCCGCCACCACCCCACTGCTTTGTAAACCTCTCCCTCCTCCCTGGCTTGGCATCTGATTCGGTCACTGTACTGTTATCCTATGTGAACGGTGCTATATAAAGGCAAGTTGTTGTTGTTGTTGACTGTGTCTATTGATACCTGTTTGTGAATTCTGTTATTAGCAATAAATAATATGAAAGGCCACTGTTTACTCGTCAAACATTTGAGCAAATGGCAATAATTAATATCAAGTCTTCTAGTGACAGTGCTTATTCTGTGGACAAACGCAACAGAAGGACCTTTACCCTCGCCTTGGACAGGCAGACAGAAGCTTGGTTGATTGTCTCAGCTGAAGGATCCCACCTCTGACCACATAGGACCGCCCTGGAGCATCAGCCTAGATTGTAAGCTCAAAGTCCCCAGGAGTCCTGTAGCCTGCTGGTAAGAGGATTCGCCTTGCAAGCGAGATGACCCGGGTTCGAATCCCAGGCAGGACGAAACACTGGGCAAGTTTCCTTACTCCACGCACCTCTGTTTACCTAGCGATAAGTAGGAATCTAGTTGTTAGTCGATTGGCGGATGCTTTTCCAGGGGTAATAACCCCTTGAAAAAAAAAATAATAATAATTTGGTCACTCAATCACCCACTGTTTGTGGGACACTGCTGTGTGGAATTGGCTGCTGCATTTCGCTCATAAAATATACAGTTAATTCACTTTACACTATATTCTGTGAAGTGCTTTGTGACGTCTCGAAGGCCTGATGAGGTCCGATATCAAATACAAGAATATTATTATTATTATTATTAACATGGGACTTGAACTCACAGAGGATCACAAGATGGGTTTGGATGAAGAAAGGCTTTTCACCCTATCTGATCTCCTCCCTCTAGATCATCAAATCTGACATCCCCCATCACAGCATCCAGCTGCTTTTTAAACGAGTCCCAATGTCCTAGCCCCCTTCCTGACAACCCTGTTCCACTCCTTAATACTCCTCTGGATAAAGTGACACTTTGTGTTGTCCTGAATTTTCCCCTGCGCATCTCTAAAACCGTAGCCTCTTGTTCTCCTGTCTTGTTACATCTCAAAGTGTTGACCAGGGTTTACTTTAATCCCATTTAATCCCATTATACAGCTCTATGAGGTCTCCTCTTTGTCATCTTCTCTCAAGACTGAAGAGCCCCATAGCTTGTCTAATAGTTGCTCACAACTCATTCTCCATAGACAGAAGGCAGCCCTTCATGTAGGACCAGGACTGCATGCAATCTCTGATGTGTGGTATGACCAGAACACAAAGCAGCTGAGCATAACATTTGGGGATCTGATCTAGTGATACAGCCCAGCATCCTGTTTCCCTTGTTTATTGCTATTTCACACTGTTTTTGACATTGTGAGCAACAAGTCAAGTAACACCCTTAGATGTCAATCTGCTTCCCCCTTTGGCAAGCTCCATCTGTGGGCATTTGTGTTTCATATTCTTGGATACTATGTGTAGCACCTTGCATTTCATGGATTCCTGTAGCTCAGTGGTTAGCGAACTTGCCTCAAGTGAGAGGACCTGGGTTTGATTCCTGGCAGAGCGAAACGTTAGGCAAATTTCCTTACTCCCCACGCTTCCGTTTACCTAGCAATAAGTAGGAACCCAGCTGTTAGTCGATTGGCGGATTGCTTTTTCGAGGTAAGAATCCCAGAAAAAAAATTGGGTCATTCAATCCACGACTGTTTGTGGGACACTGCTGTGCGCAATTGGCTGTTGCATTTCTCCTACAAAGTACAGTCGATTCATTTTACAGTATATTCTGTGAAGCGCTTTGAGACGTCTTGAAGACATGATCGGGCACTATATCAAATGCAAGATTTATTATTATTATTTATTTGCATTAAAATCCATTTGTCAGTTTTCAGGCCATGTGCATGCCCCATCAAGCTCCCATTGTAGGACCTTTGTTGCCTCCTCTGGTTCCACATTTTTCCCCCAACTTGGTGCCATCTGGAGATGTAAGGAGCTTGCATTGGTACTACCAATCCAGCTCATTAATGTGTGAGAGGAGCCTGTGGCTAGAGACCAGAGTCCGTGGCTGACTCCTGTTTATGCATCACTGAACGGCTGAGAAAATGTCACCAAACCAAAGTGAGCTTCTTTCCCCTTCTTCTCAGAAAGGGTTTCAGTCACAGGTATTTCGGTTTCAGAGGAGATTATCAGATGTCATCACGTTGTGATGTCTCTGAGATAAGGCCTCAGCCCCGTCCTGTCCCAGATATCACCCTGATGTTATCTGCCTCCTCTCTGCTTGCAGCTATGCTCTGCCATTTCTTGCAGAAGAGCCTCAGAGGCTTCTTCAGCCTCAGACACACGCTGGGTTGTTTGAGCTGCACTCAAAATGCACTAGTACAAGGGAGGAGGCAGGTGTGAAACTTGATGGTTTGCTGCAGTTTGCTAGTGATCTGATAAAACTCCTGAAGAGCCCGACAATAGGTCACATCTGCCTGGTATTCCCTTGCCCACTGACTCTGGCCTACCATCTGTTGGCTAAGCCTTTGCCCCTACTCCTCAGGGACTCTCTCTCCCGCACCCTCCTCAAAACCTTCTTAAACCCCAATCTCTGGCCACTCTTTGTGGGTCAATGCTGGGTGCAATTGACTGCTGCATTTCATCCACCAAATACAGTCAATTCACTTTACAGTGTATCCTGTGAAGCGCTTTGAGACATCTCAACGACATGATCAGGCGCTGCATCAAATACAACGATTATAATTTGGGCCCTCGAGCCAGTGCAGAGGAGAGCAACAAGGATGATCCCCAGTGTTAGAGGAATGAGCTGTGAACAACTAAACAAACTCAGGCTCTTCAGTCACAGAGAGATGAGAGATGACACATAGAGGACCCTATGGAGGTTTATAAAATACGACATGGGATTGAGAAAGCAAACCCAGAACAATACTTTACGATGCACTGAGACCGTAGAACAAGAGGCCACAAGTTTAGAGTTAGGTGTAAAGGGAAATTTCAGAACGTACACCAGAAAGTTTTTCTTTACCCAGCGGGTAATTAATGAGTGGGACAGGTTGGTAGGAAGATGGTTGAGGCCAGGATGCTGGGACTCATTTCAAAAAGCAGCTCAGTACTGTGATAAGGCAACAGCCAATGGTAACAGTCAAAATGACGGTTGCAAAACATATCAAAGATAATGAGAAAGAGATAGATAAAGATCGGAGAGCGTGATAGAGAGAGAGAGAAATATAGAGAAAAGAGAGCTAGAGAGAGATAAATATAGAGAGAAGAAAGGAGAGAGTGATAGAGAGAGAGAAATATAGAGAGAGGAGAGGAGAGAGTGATAGAGAGAGAGAAATATAGAGAGAGGAGAGGAGAGAGTGATAGAGAGAGAGAAATATAGAGAGAAGAGAGGAGAGAGTGATAGAGAGAGAGAAATATAGAGAGAAGAGAGGAGAGAGTGATAGAGAGAGAGAAATATAGAGAGGAGAGAGTGATAGAGAGAAGAGAGGAGAGAGTGATAGAGAGAGAGAAATATAGAGAGGAGAGAGTGATAGAGAGAGAGAAATATAGAGAGAAGAGAGAAATGTAGAGGGATAGAGGAGATGAGGAGAGAGAGAATAGACACGGAGAGAGAGAGAAAGAGAGGGAGAAAGAATAGCCATAGAGAGAGATAGAAAGTGGGAATGAAGAGAGAGACGAGTTGAGGAGGAAACCAGAGGCAGTGCGGCCACACCCCCTCCACAGCGATTGGCGCAGCTCTCCCCGGTGGGCGGGGCTACCGATCAATCAGAACCAAACCAAAAGCGGCGTCTGTGATAGAGAGAGTGTGTGAGAGAGAGGGAAGGAGAGATAGAGAGTGTGAGAGAGGGAAGGAGAGATAGAGAGTGTGAGAGAGGGAAGGAGAGATAGAGAGTGTGAGAGAGGGAAGGAGAGATAGAGAGTGTGAGAGAGGGAAGGAGAGATAGAGAGTGTGAGAGAGGGAAGGAGAGATAGAGAGTGTGAGAGAGGGAAGGAGAGATAGAGAGTGTGAGAGAGGGAAGGAGAGATAGAGAGTGTGAGAGAGGGAAGGAGAGATAGAGAGTGTGAGAGAGGGAAGGAGAGATAGAGAGTGTGAGAGAGGGAAGGAGAGATAGAGAGTGTGAGAGAGGGAAGGAGAGATAGAGCGTGTGAGAGAGGGAAGGAGAGATAGAGAGTGTGAGAGAGGGAAGGAGAGATAGAGAGTGTGAGAGAGGGAAGGAGAGATAGAGAGTGTGAGAGAGGGAAGGAGAGATAGAGAGTGTGAGAGAGGGAAGGAGAGATAGAGAGTGTGAGAGAGAGAGGGAAGGAGAGATAGAGAGAGAAGGAGAGATAGAGAGAGAAGGAGAGATAGAGAGAGAAGGAGAGATAGAGAGAGAAGGAAAGATAGAGAGAGAGGGAAGGAGAGATAGAGAGAGAAGGAGAGATAGAGAGAAGGAGAGATAGAGAGAGAAGGAGAGATAGAGAGAGAGGGAAGGAGAGATAGAGTGTGTGAGTGAGAGGGAAGGAGAGATAGAGTGTGAGTGAGAGGGAAGGAGAGATAGAGTGTGAGTGAGAGGGAAGGAGAGATAGAGTGTGAGTGAGAGGGAAGGAGAGATAGAGTGTGAGTGAGAGGGAAGGAGAGATAGAGTGTGAGTGAGAGGGAAGGAGAGATAGAGTGTGAGTGAGAGGGAAGGAGAGATAGAGTGTGAGTGAGAGGGTAGGAGAGATAGAGTGTGAGTGAGAGGGAAGGAGAGATAGAGTGTGAGTGAGAGGGAAGGAGAGATAGAGTGTGAGTGAGAGGGAAGGAGAGATAGAGTGTGAGAGGGAGTTAGAGTGTGAGGGAGGGAGGGGGAGAGAGTGTGAGAGGGAGGGAGAGAGAGTGTGAGAGAGAGAGAGGGACTGTGAGAAAGAAAGAGACAGAGAGAATAGAGAGAAAGACAAGTGTGTGAGAGACTGACTGACAGACAACAGCAACAAGATTACATTTATATAGCGCCCTTCACATTGGGAGGACATCCCAGACTGATGTGAGAGAGGATACCGCATCTCTCCTGAGTGCATTGAGGACCAGAGGAGCCTGAGGTAGGGAGCTTTTCGCTGTTCACCTTCACTCCCAGTTACATTTTTATATTTTGTCTAAAAATAACCTGTCAAGTTCCCCCCAGGTCCCGTCTACCAATGGGAATCAGCCCTGACAAATACTGCCTGCCCCTCACCAGCACCCAATGCCAACTGTACCCACGCCCCTCACGCTGGGCAGGGCTCTGGAACGCTAACCCGCATGAGGGGCGCTATGTAAAGGCAAGTTGCTGTCTGCTCTGCGACGCCACTCGCCCTCTCCCACGGCTCTGGTTCCTGCCCTGGGAGGAGAAGTCTCGCCCCCCACTACGGCCTCCGCCACAGCCCGGTACACATATGCCGACCAGCATGGCTGCCATACGGCTAAAACATGCCAATGACACACCAACAACATGGCAACAGAGATGTGGAAACGTCCTTGTCATTTATTGTTGTGTAAGTTATGAAAGGGAATGTGGAGGGGAGAGCGAGAGAGACTGAGACACAGCGAGAGAGAGCGAGAGTGAGAAAGACTGAGACACAGTGAGTGGGATCGAGAGAGACAGAGAGATTGAGAGTGAGAGAGACCGAGACTGGGAGCGAGAGTGAAATAGAGGCAGAGGGAGAGAGAGAGTGAGAGGCAGAGAGAGAGGGCACAAAAGCGATAGAAAGAGATAGGGACAGAGACATAGAGAGCGACTCACAGGAAGAAAGAGAGAGAGAGAGAGAGATGGAAGAGAATGAGATAGAAGAGAATGAGATAGAGGCAAAGGGAGAGCAAGGAGAAAGAGACACAGACAAAGATAGCGAGGGAGACAGACCAGCAGTCAGAGACTTACTGAGAAAGGGGGAGAGAGAGAGAGAGAAGATGGAAAAGAGAGAAAGAGAGACCGGGGTGGAGGGAGAGAGAGAGAGACAGAGAGATGAAAAGAGAGAGAGAGACAGAGAGATGAAGAGAGAGAGAGACAAGAGAGATGAAGAGAGAGAGTCAGAGAGATGAAGAGAGAGAGACCGAGAGATAAGAGAGAGAGAGAGAGCGAGAGAGGGAGTGTGCGAAAGCATGTGGGTGAGTTTAAAAAAAAACAAGATCTGTTTCCACAGTTGACATGGAAAGTGCACGATACGAAAGGATCTTATCTGATGCCAAAGCTGTCAGTGTGATCTCAGTCCGTGATTCAGTCAATCTCGGTTTCAACTCGCAGTCCAGAGGATGTGGCTCGAGCACCATGTTGGGGACTGTGAGCTCACAGTCCAGGCTGATGCTCCAGTGCAGCGCTGGGAGAGATGGAATGATGGACACCCTGTCCTTCGGGTGAGACTTTAAACCTCCCCCTCCCCCCTCGCTGCCCCTGTTCAAGTGGAATTAAAGATTCCGTGGCACGATTGGAAAAGAGAAGTGAGTTTCTCTCTTTCTCTCTCTCCTGGAGTTGTGGCTGACAATCCCCGAGATTGATCGCCCGCTCGCTCACCTCACCGGGAATCGGAGTAATCGACTCCGGTTACCGGGGCCGGATGGCCTGGGATATGCGCTCCTCTCCGTGGCCGGTGTGATCAGGGGCCCCGTTTGTGCGGTGCTCTCACTCTCTCTTGTTCCGCCAGAGCCGAGCGTCGTCGTGGCAGTGATGGTGGGACACCTGCTCCTCCCCCTGCTCCTCTCGGTGACGACGGCCAGAGCAAACACATGTAAGAGCTCGGAAATTAACCAGGGTGCGAACCAGGGTGGGGCCTGGCAGGGAGGGGTGAGCAGGGGCAGATGGGGCTGGGAGGGGCGGGGTATGTAGTGGCTAGTCGGGGCCCTGGCACAGGGATGGGCAGGGTTAGGGCCAACAATACTGCCCGGTTTATGCTCACGTACAGACAGGTCACTTGTAAAGCTTATATTAAAGTCCATAATAATAATAATAATTATGACAATGATAATTAATCCTTGCATTTGATATAGCATTTGGTTAACGAACTATAGGAGCCTGTTCCATAAGTTTACTACTCACTCACTGAAGCAATGTTTCAGCAGATTTGTTCTGAATTTACCCCCTTTAATCACAGATTGTGACCTCTGGTTCTGCTGTTCAGAACAAGTTAAACAGCTTCTCATGGTCTACGTCATCTATTCCCTTCAGAAGCTTAAAAGACTGTAATCATATGGTTGATTCACAGGACCAGGGTAGAGGACCTGGCATGTTGGGTGGCAACTGTATCTCGTAGCTTTGCAGTTCTTGTCTTCTCTCTTACTATGTTCTGATGTTGCGGGAACCTTGGCCCAGTCAGGCTGGAGGTGGATTGGCCTGAGTAACTGAACCTGCAGGGGAACTTATGCCTTGGGGAAGTGGAAACTCTTTTTCTCTTTCTCTCTCCCCTCTCTCTGACTCCGGCTCTCTCGGCTAAACACTCAGACTGACCACAGTATAGCTTACTGACCCTCTGTTATTCTATATTATAATATAGAGTCTTGTAGCTTAGTGGTTAGAGCACTCGCCTTGCAAATGAAAGGACCTGGGTATGATTCCCGCGCAGGGCGAAACATTGGGCAAGTTTCCTTACTCCACACACCTCTGTTTACCAGCAGTAAGTAGGAACCAGGTTTTTAGTCGATTGGTGGATCGCTTTTCTGGGGGTAATAATTAATTCCTTCAAAAATTTTGATTGATTAACAAATAATTGTTATTTTGTCACCGAATCCATGACTGTTTGTGGGACACTGCCGTAAGCAATTGACTTCTGCATTTTGCCAACAAAAATGTACAGTCGATTCACTTCACAGTGTATTCTGTGAAAGGATTTGAGACGTCTAGAAAATGTGATAAGGCGTGATATCAAATGGAAACATAGAAACAGGAGGAGACTATTCAGCCCCTTGAGCCTGTTCCGCCATTCTATAAGATGATGGCTGATCTATACCTTCAATTACTTGTCCTTGAAACCCCAACCTGACAAATATCTATCTACCTCGGTCTTGAAGATGTGAATGGATACAGCCATAATCCACAGAGTTCCAGATTTCCACTACCCTCTCGGTGAAAAACTGACCCTGATTTCACTCCTAAATGGCCTGGCTCTAATTTTAAGATGATACCCCCTTGTTCTGTATTCCCCTCCAGAGGAAATAGTTTCTCTGTAGCTACCCTATCAAATCCCTTTATTATTTTAAAAACCTCAATCAGATCAGCCTCAACTTTCCAAATGCAAGGGAATAGAGACCAAGTTTATGCAATCTGCCCTCTAATTCAACCCTTTAAGCCCTGGTATCATTCTGATGAATCTGCGCTGTGCCCCCTCCAGAGCAAATATATCCTTCCTGAGGTTGCGGAGCCCAAAACTGAAGGCAGTCTCCAGATGGGAGTTCAAGGAATGCAAGGATTATTATTATTATTGTTAGTAATTGTCCTTCTTGTTAAACATGAGGATGGTGTGTGCGAATCTGTACATTTCTCACCCACCTGAGAGGTGTGGTCAGGCTGGTGTAAACGGGCTAGGAGTGGGCTCCAGGTCAGTTATGACACCAGGAGCTAATTTCTGATTAAAACAATGTGGGAGTGTTACATTAACAGCTAACGAGACGCTGTTTCCTGTAATAAACACATGGCTTCATTTCTGAACTAATTTAACTCCTCAACACATGTCATCCTGTTATTTCCCCAGAACATTTTATCCCAAGTTATACCAACTGTCCCATAACATACATCACCTGCTCATCAACACTATGGTTTCGCTGAGAGTCTGCACAGCTTTCGAGCACCCACTGCCAACTGATTCCATCAGCATTTCTAACTCGAATCATATCTTACGCAATAATACTTCTCATTCCAACATTCCTCAAGAAAAAAAACAATAAAATTGGTCACTTCAATCCATGACTGTTTGTGGGACACTGCTGTGTGCAATTGGCTGCTGCGTTTCGCCCACAAATATACAGTCAATTCACTTTACAGACTTCTGTGAAGTGCTTTGAGATGTCTGGTAGACATGAAGAGTGCTATATCAGATGCAAGGATTATTATTATTTGTGAATTGGGTGGAATGAGGGGGAATGTGGTGGTTGATTGTGCTGACAAAGTGTCTATGTGTATATGTGTCTTCATTACATCGAGGCTTGACTGTGCAAACTCCCTGCTTGTCGGCCTCCCCAACTCCTCCCTCCACAGGCTGCAGATCATCTAGAACTCTGCAGCCCGTGTCCTCTCCTGCACCAGGCTCTCCAACCCTATCACCTCCATCCTTGCTCAATTCCACCGGCTTCCCATCACACAGAGGATACAGTTCAAGATCCTGGTCCTCTCCTTCAAAGCCCTCCACGATCTTGCTCCCCCCCCCCCCCCCACCTCTCCGATCTCCTAACCTCCTACCACCTTTTTCGCTCCCTCCACTCAGTGGGCTCTGGCCTGCTTCACGTCCCCCGCCTTGCTCGCCCTACTATCCACAGGTAGGCCTTCTGGCGCTCTGCCCCCACCCTCTGGGACTCCATCCCGCAGTCCCTCCGTCTCTCCCCCTCCCTCGCCACCTTCAAGACCCTCCTCTTTGACCGTGCTTTCAATCTCCCTGCTTCCTGCCCCCACCCCAGCCCCCAGTTCGGATCCGTAACTGTCTGTCCAGCGTCTTGGGACGTCCTCCCGACCGTGAAAGGCGCTATGCAAATGTCATTTTGTTGTTGTTGTGTGCGTGCGTGCGCCTCCGCGCGCGTGTGTGCGCGCGTGCGCTCGCTCTCCTGTATGCACGCATGCACACGTGTGTATGCCGGTGCGGGCCTCTATGTGTGACGTGTTTGTGTTTGTGTGTGTGTGTGTGTGTGTGATGTGTATGCCTGTGTGTGTGTGTGTGCAGGTAGTGGCTGGTTGGGGAACCTGAGCTGTGTGGTGGACTACTTGAGTGCCGCGGACTGTGTGTGGAGGCCGGAGCCGGGCAGTCAGGACGGGAACTTCACACTGGAAATGGTCAAGTAAGGAACCTCCCTCTGTGACTCTCTCACACGCTTTCTCTCCCTCTCTCTCTCTCTCTCTTTCACACGTTCTCTCTCTTTCACACGTTCTTTCTCTCTCTCACACGTTCTCTCTCTCTCTCTTTCACACGTTCTCTCTCTCTCTCTCACACGTTTTCTCTCTCTCTCACACGTTCTCTCTCTCTCTCACACGTTCTCTCTCTCTCTCTCTCTCTCTCACACGTTCTCTCTCTCTCTTTCACACGTTCTCTCTGTTTCACACGTTCTCTCTCTCTCTCTTTCATACGTTCTCTTTCTCACACGATCTTTCTCACGTTCTCTCTCGTGCGCTCCCCCTCCCTCTCTCTCCCTCGCGCTCTCCCCTTCCCCCCTTCTCTCTCTGTCACAAACTCTCTTAGGAAGAAAGTGCACCGCAGTTGCGAGCTGAGGCGGGAGGTGGAGATTCCCGCCTTTTCCTGCAGACTGGTGTTACCCCGTATGCGGTCTTTCCAAGAATACCAACTGCACCTGCGCAGATACAGGGGCCGGAACGTCACCTCCTGCAGCGTGGACAATTACAGACCTGCCCATCACAGTGAGTAACCCCGCCCTCCACCCCCGGTAACCCCGCCCTCCACCGCCACTAACCCCGCCCTCCGCCGCCGGCGACCCCGCCCTCCGCCGCCGGCGACCCCGCCCTCCGGCCGTCCGCGCCGGACCCCGCCCTCCGCCGTCGGCGACCCCGCCCTCCGTTTCACCATCGGTGGCCGCACTTTCAGCCGCTACGCCCCAAAACTCTGCACACGCTTCCTCTGTTCCTCCGCATTGCCCCCCCCCCCCCTTCCTTTCCCATCTTCGGGTCGTGCCTGAAAACCTTCCTCTGTGACCGTGGCCTACGGTCACCTCCTCCAGGCTCGGTACGGTGCTCCGCCACTGTCGAGCGCTCTGGGACGCTGCCCTGGGTGAGGGGCACTGTGTAAATGCAAGTTGTTGTTGTTGAGTGTGTATATATATATATATATATATACTTTAAGGCTGTGGTTGGGGGTTTTCTTACTGACCGCTCTGTGCCTGTGTGTGTCTCTGACAGTCAGACCCCTGGCTCCAGGCAGCCTCTCAGCCGCCTATAACAAATCCAGCCAGCTCCAGTGGCGCACAGACCCCTACAACGGTATGATCCTCAACAAGCAACTGCTCTTCGAGCTGTGCTATTGGCCCAAGGACAAGCTACTGGTAAGCCCCCCAGCCCAGTGTACCCCAAACACTCCCATCCCCTGTGTACCCCACATCCGACAAGGGCAGCGATCTCTCTTCTAAGTCACATGGTTCTGGGTTCAAGCCCCCACATCGTGGACTTTGGGTCACAGTCTCGGCTGATGCTCTGAGAGGTGGGGACACTGCATTGTCCTTCAGGTGAGATGTTAAACCAAGGTCCTTCTGAAGCATTTACACGGCCGTTAAACTTCCTGTGGCGCTGCAGGAAAAGAAACAAGAGTTTCTTTCTCTCTCTCGCGGTATCCCGGCCGACAATCCCCCAGATACAAGCACTCGCTCACTTCACAGTTGTTTACTGCCACATTTGCCCACGAAACACACAGTCACTACACTTTACAGTCAATTCGGTGAAGCACTTTGAGCCAAGCGATCCCGAGATGATGAAGTGCTGTATGAAAGGTGAGGATTATCACCTTGGTGTTCTCCCCCTATCCCCCACTCTCTCCCTCTATCTTCCCCCCCCCCCCACACCCCCAGGAGAAGAAGTTCAAGGAGGTAACCACCCATCACATGACCATCGAGGGCTTCGAGCTGCAGCTCAATACAGTGTACGTGGCCAGTGTACGCTGCAAACCAAACAAGGTCGACCCCTACAGGGGCCAGTGGAGCACGTGGAGCACGGAGTGCGAGTGGTCAACAGAAACAGGTTAGTCACCAGAGTCTGCCCACCCCTCAACCTGACCTTCCCTCTGCGTCTCCCTCTGCGTCACTCTCTGCGTCCATATCTGTCTGACTCGTGGGTGGGTGGGGGGTGATCTGCCATTACTAGGTCAGGCAGCATCTATGGAGAGAGGAAAGTGAGCTAACGTTTCAGGTCATTGACCTTTTGTTAGAACTTTATTCCTGGTAACGAGAGACGTTATTGTAACAGACACAGGAGCAGGGAGCCCAACGCGAGGCGACTGGAGCCACCTGATGCTGGTGCTGTTTATCCCACTCTCTCTCGCTGCTCTCATATCCATCATTCTGTATTTCAAGATCCCATCCCGGTTAGTATTGATCTCATTCCCACCGGCTGGGGACCTGTGGCGGGGGAGGGGCTGGGGCCTGCGGTGGTGGAGGGGAGGGGCTGGGGTTTGCGGTGGTGGAGCGGAGGGGCTGGGGGGATCTGGGGGCTGTGGTAGAGGGGAGGGGATGTGGGGGTCTGTGGTGGGGGATGCTGTATTGCGAGGGGGCTGTGGTGGGGGGGTCTGTGATGGTGAATGGGCACCGGTCGGATCGAGCAGTTTCCCATTTTCATTTCCTCAGATTTGTCGGAAAGATAAACCAAGTGGTGATTCACGTGCCCAACCCAGCAGCCTTCTTCCAACCCCTCTACACTGAGCACAACGGCAACTTCAAGGTAAAGAGAGTGGTGTTCACATCCTCCCTCCCTCACGTCACCTCACGCACACACACACTCATTCACAGATGTCCTGGCCAACAATCCCCCAAATAAATTTGCTTGCTCACTTCACGGCTGTTTGCAGGTACGTTGCTGCAAATTGGCTGCCCCTCTCACCCACCAAACGCACAGTCACTGCGCTTTACAGTGAATCCTTGTGAAGCGGATTTGTAGACGTTCCCTGCAGTGATAAGCCTTGCAGTTTGTGGTTATTATTTTACTGTCATTATAATTCTTGCTCTGAGGACTGGGTGGAGAGTGGGGGCAGCGTGACAATGGCTGCAGTGCCGGCGGAAGGGAAGAGACCCCTGGAGAGCGAGCTGCCAGTCAGCGTGCTGGACTCCCAGCCCAAGGCCATGTCCAGTGTCACCTCTTGGACCCTGCTGCCCACGGGCAAGTGCTGCTCGGAGGCCGAGCTTGGCGATGGTGACTGTCCGTGCTCGCAGAGTGAGATCCTGCCAGGGCCTGGGGATGAGTTGAGATCCGCGTATGGATGGCAGTATCTGGGGGGTGGGCCCCAGCTCGCCATGGGCTCGCGTGGCTGGCTACCCCCCGAGGGCTCATCTGTGGCTTTGCTCTTCCCGTTCCCCTGGGATCGCGGCCCCAGCTCCTGCTACAGTGATGAGTACTGCACCCTCTCCCACTCCGACCTGAGCCACGGGCTGCTCACGCTCGCCTCTCAGCCCCCAGCCAGCGCCGGCTCGGGAAGAATGCCCCCTGTGGAATGCCAGACAGGATCGGGGAGCAGCTGGCCAGAGAGAGAGGCCGGGAAGAGTGGAGCGATGCCGTTGGTCTGTGAATGAGTAGAGCTGCTGATCGACCGACCACCAGCGGCAGTTGAGAAGCTTCTAATCGCTGCTGTGACACAGCTCGGAGTGGATTCCCACAGCCACGCTGGCGAGATACACAGGGTGGTCCCCCCACTTCTCCCCCCACCCCATCCCGGCAACCCCAAGACTGAGGCGCGGTAGCTAGGAGGCGCATCGAGGTGGAGTGTGATGCCAGGAGGTGAGAGCAGCCACGTGCTGTGAGAGATATCGAGCATTACCTTATAAACCGCTTTGCCAAAACGGATGCTTTATAGTGACCTGACTTTGAATTATTGTCCAAAATTTGCTGCTTTTCTTTCCAGTTTTACTTGGAATAATATGTTTATGTTTATATCATACATAGTATACACATCATGCATAGCATATATCTCACATACACACTATATATCATGCACAATCTATACATTACATACAGCATTTATCACACACAATATATACAGTATACATCATACGTGTATAAATATACATTATACCTATGGATCATGTACACTGTTTGACTACAGTTATGGCGGATTGTATTTTGATTTTGTTTTCCGTGTTTGCCGATCTGAACATGTTGCTGGTAATTCAATAAAGATAATAAACATTGACACTGATTTTATTTCTTACTTATTCAGTACAGGGTAAAGCTCCCTCTGCACCGTCTGTCCGCACTCCCATGACAATGCTTTTATTCAAGGCCCCACATTGGGACTTGGAATCACATAGTCTAAACTGTCACTCCAATGTAGTGCTGAGGAGGTGGTGTTGCATTATCGGAGGTGCCATCGGATGAGAGGTTAAACCGAGGTACTCTCTGCTTGTTCAGGTGGACGTGAAAGATCCCGCGGCGCTATTTGAAAAGAGAAGGAAGTTTCTCTCTCCCGGTATTCTGGTCAACAATCCCCCAAATAAAACTGATGACTCACTCCAAGGCTGTTTGTGGGACACTACTGTGTGCAAACTGGCTGCCACATTTTGCCCACAACATATACAGTCACTACACTTTACAGTAAATCCTGTGAAGCACTTTGACATGTCTGGATATAGCGATACAAGGCACTGTGTCAAATGTAAGGATCATTATTTTTTAATTTGGGAGGCTGGTTGAGGCAGTCAGCATTACTCACAGACACACTGAGGCAGCAGGGCAAGAGGTTCAGAGAGGTGAAGGCCAATTTCCCCACAGCAGCAGTCACCAGCAGCTGGAATGGGTTATTAGGAAGAGGCTGGAACCTGGGATTCATTAAAGAAACAGCTCAATGCTGTTATGGGACAGATGGTTGGATCGGGATTGTGGGAGGATGAGACTGAAGGTTGATCCAAACCTCTGGTGCGATCCTGCAAGTCAACGTCCGAGCTATCCAGGGTCCCAGGGTTTGTTGTGGGAGCTTAGTGCGTGTTATTGCAATGTTGGCCCTCTGTCACTAGATGTCGCCTCAGCATCATGGACTGGGTGTGAACAGTCAGCCAAGTTCTGTTGGAGTCACTCTCACCTTTCAGTCAGACTTTGTGGGTTCAAGTTTCCTGCCCCCCCCCCCCACCACCACCAATGTTGGGACTTGATATTACAATATCAGGCTCACATTCCTGAGCACCACTCTTTGGGGGATAAGCACTGCCAGAGGTTCTGTCCTTCAGATGAAACACTAAACCATGGTCTTGTTTAGGTGATATTAAGGACCCACTGGGCTATTTCAAAGAACAGAGAGTTGTGGTTTATATTCCTTCCTCATCCAAATGAGAACAGAGGGATAGAGTGGGCAGTGACTCACCGCCCACCACTGCTCCCCCCCCCATCACTGACCCCCCTCACCACTGACCTCCCACTGACCCACCAACTATTGATCCACTCACCACTGAGTGGGGTGGGGAGGAAGAAGGGCAGCGGGGGAAGCAGGAAGATTGAAAACATGGTCAAAGAGGAGGGTCTTGAGGAGGGTCTTGAAGGTGGCGAGCGAGGGGGCAAGACGGAGGGACTGACTGTGGATGGAGTTCCAGAGGGTGGACGCAGAATGGCTAAAGACCCGCCCGCCAATAGTAGGGCGAGCAAGGAGGGGGACGTGAAGCAGGCCAGAACCCATTGAATGGAGGGAGCGAACAGGATGGTAGGGGTTTAGGAGGTCAGAGAGGTTGGGGGGAGCAAGACTGTGGAGGGCTTTGAAGGTGAGGACCAGGATCTTGAACTGTATCCTCTGTGTGATAGGAAGCCAGTGGAGTTGGACAAGGATGGGGGTGATAGGATCACGGAGCCAAGTGCGGGAGAGGACACGGGCTGCAGAGTTCTGGATGATCTGCCGCCTGTGGAGGAGTTGGGGAGGCCGACAATGAGTTTGCATAGTTGAGCCTCGATGTAATGAAGGCGTGTATGAGGGTTTCGGTGGCCTGCGGTGTGAGACCGTGTCGAAGCCGGGCGATGTTGCGGAAGTGGAGGAAAGCAGAGCGGGTCATGGGGCGAACGTGGGGTAGAAAGGATAGTTGAGGGCTGAACAAGGTTCCAGACCGGCTTGGCAAGGTTGAGTGCTTTGGGACGTCCCCCCGACGTGAAAGGCGCTCTATAGGTGTAATTTTTGTTGTTGTTGTTGCTGTTGTTGTTGAGTGTGCCACCACGGATGGTGATATACTGTCAGAGCCTAAGGCGTTGACGTTCAACTGAAGAAAGTTAACTCGCATCCAGGACTCGATGTCTGACAGACATTCTGTCAGCGCAGCAGTGGGTGGAGGCGGAGAGCTTAGATGACACCCCCCACCCCACCACTGACCCCCCCCACCACCACCACCAGAAACTGAACAACCGACCACAATTTCCTACTTCAACAACTTCCATCCATTCAAGGGTGGCCAGCGCCCACAGCGCACGCGCCAGATATTTCCCCTCAATTGCCCTCGGGGGGGGTGGGGAAATCCTGGAGGCGGGGCGGCAATGCTGATTGACGGGAACGTCGACCAATAGCATCGAGGAGCTGGGTGATCGACGAGGAAAACGACCAATGAACGTGAGGTGGCGGTTGTGACGCCGGGAGGAGCGATGTGATGGACGGGGCTGGCGACCAATGGGATCGGGTAGGCGGACGATTGATGGTGATGGTGGCCAATGGAAATGAGGGCCGCGTTGACGGGTGCTCGATCCTACCAATCAGTGTGAGGGCGCGCGCGGAGCCAATCAGAAGTGGCGGAGTGGGCGGGCGCTGGCGGCGTGGGGGCGGGCGGAGGTGGAGGCGGGAGAAGCGCGCGTTGTTGTGCTCCCGACTGTCGGCTCCGGGGCGATGGCGATCGTTGAGGCTCGGGCTGTGAGCGGGGCCTGAGCGGCGAGGCCCGGGCCTTCCCATGGCGAGAACCACGAGCCAGATAGTAAGTGACCGGCTTCCGAGACACAGGGAGGGAGAGACCCTCACCCACCCACTCCCCCGCCCCGCGCGCCAACACCGGCCGCCGGGCCTCCAACCCACGCAAGGCCCGAGGCTTGAGCCAGGCAGTCGGGCCCCGCTCAGGCCGGCCGGCCGGCCTGTCTGTCCCGGGCCTGTCAGCGCGCTGAGAGCCTGGCAGCAGCGCCCTTGAGAGTGGGGGGGAGGGAGGGAGGGAGGGGGCGGGGAAGAGGGAAGGGGAAGAGGGGGTGAGGTTCAGTCTGTGCTCACTGACACCGGCTCAGAAACACTCACAATTAGTTGTTGTTTATATTTAATTTCCATTGAAAATCCCACAGAACAAGATTAAAAGACAAGATAGAACATGCAACCCTCCTCTCCCCCAGTGCCACTCTCCTCTCCGCTCATCTCCCCTCCCCAGACAAGGGTCAGTGTGACCTCCATGTACAGGGAAATAGTAGGACGAGAAAAAAAAGCCCTTTAAAATATTCCCGGTGATTAATATTTATCCAAAGGAATCGATGCAGCAAAAACAAATCGATTTCCCTCCCCACCCACTCCCACTCACACTCACACACACACACACCCCTTCCTTAAGAATCTCTGAGGTTTTTGATTTATCTCTTCCCCCACTCTCCTTTCGCAGTTTGTGTCGCGCTCACAGGGATTGCTTCAGATGCTGTTTTTTTTAAACCGGTGTCATGTTGGAGCTTTATGTGTTTCTGGGTCTGGGTTTGGACCACGTAAGGAAGCGACTGTATAACGTGACGTGTTGCAAAATTGCTTGTCCTGTTGTTGAGGTGGATTGCCACATCCCACTCCTTGTGTTTTGCAGTTGTTTACTTGTGAAGGGTCTGTAAGTGTCTCCAGGGTGAGCGAGCACTGATTGTTAACTGTCGCTGGCATTTACTGCTTTCATCTCACAGTCTCTGCACTAGACTGACACTCCAATGCAGTGCTGGGGAGAGCGCTGCATTGTCGGAGGTGGCGTCCTTCGAACGAGACGTTAAATAAAGGTTATAATAATAATAATCCTTGAATTTGATATAGCACCTTATCACGTTTTCGAGATGTCTCAAAACGCTTGTACAGAATATGCTCTAAAGTGAATTGTCCATATATTTTGTGGGTGGATGGAGATGATATGCTATTCCCGAAAAGAGATTCTCTGGGTGGCCTGACCTACAATCCTTCACAATCCTTCAGATGAATCACTCCTTCACCCCATGGTATGTGGGATCTTGCTGGTGCAAACAGCAAGATGTATGTTTACCTACAAAATCAGTCACTACTGCTCACATGACAGTCATTCTATGTGAAGTGCTACGAGATGTTTTCACGTGATAAAGCGTTGTTAAAATGCAAGAATTATTATGATTATTATAGATCACCTGGAACATCAACACAGCAAAGCCTGCTTTTCTTCATTATTTGTGCATCCTGGAGGCTAGATCTCACAGCCGTCAGACACCACAGTAGCAGCTTATGAGTCTCAGCACAAGATGTTTATTCTTGTCAGAAAAGCCGATAGAAAAGCTGCAGTCGAGATACTGGGGCCATGTGAGCGCGAGCTAATGTGTATTCTGTGGTTTTGTGTTGTCTGTCAATAATAATCCTCACATTTGATATAGCACCTTGCGACCACGTCAAAATGTCTCAAAGCGCTTTACAGTATTTTGCGGTAATTTATAGTGACATTTGTAGTAAATGTGGCAGCCAATTTCACACAGCAACATTCCACAAACAGCCATAAGTTGAATGACCAATTTTATCTGGGGGTGGAGAGGTATTGTCAGCCAGGAATCCAGGAGAAACTTCCTCTGATATTGCAGCACTCCCATCAGCAATGTATTGGAATATTAGCCTGGACTGTGAGCTCAAAGTCCTGATGTGGGTTTTTACATCCTCGACCTTCTGACTCAGAGGCGAGAGAGCTGGGAAGACAACTGAGCCAGACTGGCACTTCTTTGGACGAGGAGGGTGCTATTAACTACCCCCGCCAGTGCTGGCGGCTGGAGAGGGGTGAGATGGTAAACACAGTCACTAAGTTCTCTCGAGGCTCGCAGTGCTTGCTTGCAAAGTGGAACGCAAAATAGATTTGCGATGGGCACTGGTGAATCATGTCAGTGAGTTGATGTTGCGCTTATTCAGTAATGAGGATAATTTTCTTTCAAGACTTGTTACAAAGAGACTTCTTTTTAATGTATAAGAGAGTAACATTTTGATTGCTCCCACCGTCCCCCCGTCCCCTCCCCGAAATGAGTTAATTGAATGTGCCTGACCAGCTCAGGGTCTGAAGTCTCAAGCAGCAAGTTCAAATTCAATAGAGATTTGATGAGTTTGATTCTGGTTAGGTTGTAAGCCTGGTCTCTCTGAATAGTCAGCAAAAGAATTCTAGTTCGGTGTAGATAAAACGGAATGACAAACACATTTTTTAAAAAAAACTTATCGTGATATCTTTGGCGTTTTTTTAATTCTAGTTAATCTACCAAAAAAGAAAAATTAGTTTGTCACTCAAACCACAACTATTTGTGGAATACGGCTGTGCTCAACTGTCTGTGGCATTTTGCCTACAAAATACGTGGTCACTACACTTTATAGCATATTCTGTGAAGCGAGTTGCACAATTAAGAGATTCACTCAGTAAGTAAAGAGCAAGAGATCTAGTGCTTTTTTTGTGTGAATTTCTAGTGAAACCCGTTCCACTGCTCCCCGGTGCAGGCAAAGCAGAGGGTGATTAGTGTTCAGACTTCCAGGTTAAGTTTGGAATTAGTTTTGGTGAAGTAGAGTTTTAGAAACTTAACGTAATGATGAAATAAAAACAGAAGTCACTGGGAACACGCAGCAGGTCAGGCCGCATCTTTGGAAAGAAGGGATTTGAATGGAAGGACCTTCCAGAAGGGTAGGTGTTTGACACAGGCAGAAACCCATCACCTTGTTTCCAAAAGTATCCAAACCGAGCTGAGATTTCCAGGCATCCCACCTACACATGGAAATTCCAGAGATAGATTGTTGGAATGGAATGTGCACTCTCTCTCTCCCTGGAGGGACGCATCCTACTTACCTCATACCGCAGAGTATTAGACGCTGGTTGGCAATTGCCAAGGCTTGGGTGGGGGGGCCCCAGAGTGTGTGTGGGGGTAATTCCTGGAATTTAACCAGCTAAAACCACACAGCTTGCCATTAAATGGAGTGCTGAACAGTTAGACAATTGTTTCATCAGTGGAAGGGAGGTGGCATTGTTTGTTTTTCTCCCCAGCTGTGTTTCTAAGTGGATGTGTTGCAATGGGACCATCACCATGAGTGTGCAAACCTGCCTTGAGAGGCCTGCTCCAGAGTGCCCCACCGCCTATACCACACAGCACAGGAGAGCTGATACATCTTCACCTGATGCTCATTTCCTCCCACTTTTTGCTCAGTTTCCATTGTCGAGCGTTTCTCTCGGGCTCTCTCTGAATGGCGGGTACAAATGACAAGTTGTTGATTGTTAAAACTGAGCCCACTGCTGGGCACGAGGAAGCAGATGGAATGATGACTAAACTCTGGCAATTGGGGGGGAGGGAAGGGGAGAGAAAACAAAATCCTTTTCAATTACCAGAGGGGGCGAAGGCAAATAGTTTACTTTCATTTAAAAAAAAGCTTGTGAACTCTGCATGAGCAGGACTTGCCCTGGGCTCAGTAATACAGCCTGACTTTTACACGTTGTCTTGTAATGTTGGTGGTGAGCAGGCGAGAGGTCAGAAGGGGAAGCTGATTGTCTGTGATAAAGGTTTAACATTAATGCATTGCCTAAGAGGAAAAGTGATGTTCACTTCAAAGGTTGTGTGTCCTTCTGTGTCTGATGTTTGTGATTTATTTTATGTTGGTATAGTATGGGTGACCTGTTCTCAGAGGTGTGGGGAGGAGGCTGCGAAAAGCTGTGGGCTATCCCATCCTATGTTTATAGATTGGGGCATATGAACTGGCCCTTTTAGGGGAGTTAACAGTGTTCATTGATTGATTTAATAATCCTTGCATTTGATCTAGCACTTTACCACGTCATCGAGACATCTTGAAGCTCTTCACAGGATATTGTTTACTGTAAAGTGATGTGATTGTGTGTATTTTGTGGCCAAACATGGTAGCCAGTAGGCACTGTCCCACAAATAGCCATGGAGTGAATGACTAATTTTATTCGGGAGAGTTGTTTGTGTGTATGTGAGCAATTTTACCGCAGTTCAAACACTAAGGTTTATATTTTTGTTTTGCGATGTGTTGAAGTACCTTGTGCATCTAGTTTTGTTTTCAAGTAGATTCAACAACAACCGGTCCTTCCTCTTTTTGACCGTGTGCGAGAGTGCCACCTAGTGGTGATTGACCGGTTGGCGATCCCTATGTAATGGAACGGCACATCCAGGAAACAGTGCCATTCCAACTTACATACTGACTCTTCACATTTCCTCTGTGTGTGTGTGTGTTGTGGGGGCGGGGGAGAGGTCCCCTTTAGTGTGGTGAACCAGCTTTAGTCTGTATCAAAAAAAATGCAAAATACTGCAGATGCTGGAAATCTGAAACAAAAACAGAAGTCACTGGGAACACTCAGCAGCCAGGCAGCATGTATAGAGAAAGGAAAGTGAGTCAATGTTTCGGGGCCACCACCCTTCGTCAGAACTGGGGGCATGTTGGGAGGGAGAGGGTTTTAAGGGCTAACAGAGAGGGGAGAGGCAGGGCAAGGAAGACAAAGGAGAAAATGGGGTAGATGACAAGGAATGATGGGTTAAAGAGGTGTTAATGATGCAAAACAAAGTGGGGTGGCGGGGGGGGGGGGGAAATTGCAACAAAATAGGCAGCCCAGAGAGAGAAAAGTTGTGTCTGGAACCCAGATGATGTGGTAATGGTCACAGACGAGTGGGAGGGGGAAGGTGAGCTGTTATGGTCTGAAATTTTTGAAATCAATATGGAGGCCAGAGGGCTGTAAGGTCCCTAGCAAATAAATGAGGTGCTGTT